ACATTTTGGTTGTTTTAGTTATGCCTATAATGATTACATTGTACTCATCTATTATGAATTGAATACTATATTTTGTTATATGACATTTTGTTCAATTATGTACTCTTTGTTATTATGTCATAATGTAGTTTCACAGATGGTTAATTCTAAATTAAATTAAAAAAATGCTAACTATTAACTCCTTACCACTACTTTCCAAATCACACTAAATTAACTTTGATTCAAGAACATTTTAAACACACGGTCAAAAACAAAAAAACAACCTAACACTGTTGTGGCATTATAAGAGAAAATAAACCTAATCAATTCAAATAACATCAACACAATAGCATAAGGCTACATATTCCTATTTATCATGCACATACGAGTTCGGAGTTGTGTTTGAGTTGGACAATAGTGGAAGTGGTACTTAAACTCTTGTTGAATATACTTCCAATTCGCTGCATTCAAAAACTCTTGTTCTAGAATATCATCTCACATCAGCTTCTTACATGATTTCAACAGGAATTCATCAAGTCCATGATACCAATTGTGGTAAAGAATATAGTGGTCTAAATCGATCATTGACCTTTCAACTAACTCCTCAACAAAACCTCCTTCGTCAAGTCCAATTTCGTTAATTCAGGCCTTGAGAAAATCCAATGAAACCCAATGCCCACCACTTTCCATAAACCTCGGCTGTAAATATCTCCACCCCACATCCTTATGATCACCGCTCGCCTTGTAGAGCTTTACCTTCATAACTTTATCAAACATATTCCACAATGCAATCTTCATCTTCACTTCAGAAATGCATAAAACACCAAAAAAAATCATTGAATTTTGCCTTCGCTTCAAGGGTCTCATCAGTAGGAAGCATAAAACTTTCTTTCAACCGAGTGCTTTTCTGTTGAATAATCTGTTTCGTGTGGATAATTCGAATCTTATCCATAATAGACGAATACATTGTCGAGTAATGTATAATATGTTGCAAAACTCTTGCAAAAATACTTAAGCCTTTAAGGCATAGATCTTACACATCCAAAATAGCACTAGATCTACAACTTATATATCATGAGAATCATATGTAAATGATGTGAATTGAAAAAGCAAAATCATTTAATCAAATTTATTACTACTGTAATAAATGAAATATGTGAAATATTTTACTTTGAAATTTATGAAATTTTTTAAGAAGAGTGCTTTGATGCTGATTTGATGAGCGTTGTTGAGCCAGACCATGATATATATATATATATATATATTATTGCCTCACCCCATCGACTTCTTTACTTGGTTGCTTGGCCACGAAGAAATTGAAAGATGGGAATAAGAGAGATGAGAGAGAAAGATATTTGAATGATATTTATCAGTCATTCTTATTACATGTTTTATTTTATTCATTGTAAGTGATTAATCTCTTACTTCTGTTTTTAATGATTTTGATTTCTACTAATTTTATTTATCCTAAATTTATCAAAAATGCATTATCTCCTGATTTCATAAGCTTGCAAATTTGGATATATTATAGATTTAATCATTCTAAATTATTTTATTTTATTTTATTGCATTTTAAATGAATTACTAAATGATATCAAGTGTATGATATGATAACTCAACTTGGTATCCTAATGATCCACATGATTCACTGATTGTGACTCATAAGGAGCTGGAGATTTATTGGGAGTTATAAAGAGTTAGAGCGACTGATTCACGTGATTTGAGGAGAGTTATAAGGAGTATATTGATTGGGAGTTATAAGAGGCGACTGATTGAGAGTTATAAGTGCAGTAGCAAGATTCCCTTAAGATATGCTCATTGAATATCTTAATACTTATATCGACTGTGCTACGAACACTATACTGATATCGTGACTGACCCTAATATTTTTTTTTTTCATTAACACAATTTAATGTTGTAGATCATGGTATTAATATTATTATTGCATTAGTATTGTTAGTTGTTATTGATATTGTAACTGATAATATAATGGATTGAGATGTGATAGAAGAATAAATTGATACAAATAATCAGTATAGACTTTGATGAATATATTTCCTTATATTATTTATGCATATTGTTCTCTTTTATCTTGAATTAATTTTAGTTGTAATATTTTAGTTACTTGCTGAGCTATGTGCTCATTATGTGGTTTTACATATTTTCAAAAAAGGTTAAGGCAGGGGTGGAACCGACTTCAATTTTGAGGGATGGGGGAGGGGATGCAAATACATCACAAAAATAATTAAATATTAAAAGTTAATATTATATATCTATATATTATGAAAAGTTTTTTAAAAAAATGTAAGCAAGAAAAATAAAGAAAAAAAGATGTAATTAAACTGTCATGAAAAGCATGAAAGAGAATATTAGAACAAAATGTGAAGAAATATATAAATATTTTAGGGCAAGTTAGGACAAAAGAGTTTTTTAGGGTGGGCAAAAAAAATTTTTTAGGGAGGGGCAAAAAATTTTTTTACTCTTCTATAAAAAAATTTTTTTTTTACTCTTCTATAAAAAAAAATTTTTTTTGAGGGGGGCAAATTTTTTTTGAGGGGGGGCAATTGCCCCCCCTAAGGAACAAATGGTTCCGCCACTGGGTTAAGAATCCTATGATATGAGACTCCGGACGAGATAAAAATATAATCATATTTTTATATTGTTCATTGATAAGCTCTAGTTTAATTGTTAAAATGGAAGATATATGTAATTCTTCTAATATATATCATGGGGTGTGAAAACTATTGTCTACATTTCATGACAATACACACATTCATATATTACTTAATAATACACACTGCTAATAAGATAACTTTACAATTCATAGAATATGACTACATGCAACTGTACACCTTAAAGAGTGTGATTACTTCCTGCACCATCACAGCTCAAGGCATATTAAATTTATAATCATGTATTGTACAACTGTAAACCCAATCTTGATCAATAGCTTCATAAAATTGATTGATTGTTGTTTTCATTTTTCTTTTAAAAAAATTAAAATATGCTAGTCACGACTTTGGCGATTTTTTAAATTTTTTTGTTGGTCATTAGCATAATTAAACTTTAAATTGTACTTAGTTTAAAAATTAAGCCTATCATAAATTCACTAGTTTTATCGAAATCATCCTACCAAATTGGCTCTTGGCTTTTAAGTTTATTACACAATCATCATCCTTGGCTTTTAAGTTTATTACACAATCATCATCCTTAGAATCACCTCAAATCATTTTTTGTTCAAAATTAATGTTTGTATTATGGTTGTTTTTTTTTTTTTCCGGAGAGAGTTCCATCGTAAGTGATTTGGACAAAATACTAAACATTGTTATGATTACTAAATATTTAAATAATAGAATTCATGATAGCTTCTTGTAATATGAAGATGAGTTCATTAAATAAATTTGATCTTTTGTTGCCTAGCCGATGGTAGGGAGTCTCAAAATCAAATACTACTGCATATATTGAAACTCAACATTAAGAAAAAGAAAATGGTATTCCACTTTTATTATACTCATTGGGGGGCTAATGTTGTATTGTTTGCTTTTGATTGAGTGTGAACGTTGATGTATTTATTATTCATAAGTACAATATATCATTTCTGCAATTAGTATTTAAATTGATGGAGAAGCAACTTAATTATTAATTTCTTAAATTCTTATAATTTTTTAAACTTAATATTTGAGCTCTCCCATAATTCTATTGAACAGCAACTATAATAAATTTCGCGACAATCATTGTAATTATATATATATATATATATAAACTGTTCTTAAATAATAGTATAAAATGTTTTTTTTTTCCAATCATTTATTTTATGAATCCTTATACATCAAATTTAAGTACATGGTAGAATATTAACTTAGGCGTTCAACTTGTGATATTTTGCATAAATCGTTGAGTGAAATTGAATACCGCACCTTTCGTTTCCCTAACATATCTCCATGGCAGACTGTCTTCATTGGCAGAAGAACTGATTAAAATTCACAGAAAAAAAAAAAAAATCTTTTAATTTGTGGCTCCTGCAGCAAAACATACCAACCACAGAACAATAAGCAAAATTGTAAATCATATTTTTACTAAAGAATCTAATGCACTATTTGATGGAAAATTTAAACATGCATGACAACGACTATGATTTCACTCATTTCTACATAAAATCAGATCCTTCCATAAAACTCATATTTGATTTCTAACTACTTCCAATTGACTGGCGATATCTAACTACTTCCAATTGATTAGTTATATGGGACTTTTTTTTTTGCTTTGCCAAAGATTATTGCTTCTTAAAATAATTTTCTTGTTTTAAAAATTAAATTTTTTATAATAAAAAACTACTTTAATAAGCAATAAGAAAGCGTTCTCAAATAAAGTCTAAATGAAACCTTGTAAACACTGAGCAGATATTTCATGTAAAATTAAAGTTGTTTTGAACTTGAAGACAAAGGCTTCGTTTGGAATGGCTTTTTTCATGTAAAATTTTGTACTAAAAAATCATTTTAAGAAGCAGTAAAAAAGTCGTCCATGCTTCGTTTGGGATGGCTTTCTTATTTTTTAAAGCAACTTGTTAGTATAAAAATTAAAAATTTTATACTATAAATCTGCTTTAATAAGTAATAAGAAAGCCATCCCAAATAAAACTTAAATTATTTTCTTCAGTAGAATTGAAATATGTGTTTTTAACCATTTTGCACACGCTACATTTACTGCACAGGATTACATCCACTATCAACCTACGGCCGACTTATGAACATATAATTCTGGTTTGGACCCTTGAGAATATTGTTCAATCTTCACTCATAACAAAATCATATTTTGCAAAACCCATAAAAATTATACTCTAAAAAAAGGTACATAATATCACTTGGTCAGATAAGATCAATAAAAATTTTCTTCAAATAAAATGGCATATATGAGTGCCAACTGACCCAGCAGAATGATCTTGAAAATTACTATCAGTTTTGAAATCAAATTTATATTTTAGAACTCAATACACAAAGCAGATGGTGCGAAAGAATTAAAAATGAGAGTTGGAATCTGTGTCAAACAGAGAAAGATGCGCTACACATCATACAAAGTTGCTAAAATGAGAAATTATTCTATGCGGCATTTGGACGGGAAAAATCATTCGAACATGTGAGCATACACATTTCTATACAATATATATCAAAGAAATGTACACACAGTGTATAAACTCATAGTCCGAAAGATTCTTCCCATACGGATGCCGCACAGAATAATTTCTCCATAGAATAAGCTACTGATGAACATAGAATCAAACAGTTGTTAGTTCAGCGCACTGCTCTACAAATTAATCTACTTTTTACAAAGACTCAATGTAATAGATACAGTTTCCAAATGGCATTAACTAAAAACACTTTAAATTTAGTTAAAATAAATGCCGCGACCTATCATAATTATACATAGATACAGCAAAAAAAAAAAAACCCAACACTATCCCCTTCCAGCATTACCATGCCGCTGGTTCCGGAAAAAACTGAGAAGAGCCTGGGCCTGTGGACGATTAGCAAAATTTAATGAGTATTCGCATAACAAATGAAAATAAGAGGCTTGACTAAAAAATAAACTCCTTTCGAAAGGCATCCACATCACAATAGAGAAAATCCTCAATATTGTAGAGTTATAGACGTAGGATTGAATCATTTACTGAGGCCCTACTTGATATCACTTTTATTTATTTATTTTTCTTCTTAAAAAATAGTTACAAAGATAATAAAAGATGTTTCTTCATTTATTTTTGTTTTTTAATATTTTGAAATAATTTAATTTGTGTTAAACAAACATCAAAGACAAACAATAATTTGTTTTTAGCATTTTAAAAATAATTTGTGAGAAAGCAAAAGAGGGTAATCTAGTTGAATCTACCTCACGATTCGAGCCGCATTGGGGTGAAATTTCAGTCGAAGAAGCTAATGATGGTACCACCTTAGCATTCTTTGGCTTCTTAAGCGAGGCAAAAACGGGAACTTCGATCAACATTGGAGAGTACAATGTTGACAGGAGTTTGAGAGAGCAACGAGTGAAGAGGTGGGAAATGTTATTGGAAGATTCGATGGGATAGGTGATGGACAGAGACAGCGACAGGCAAGTGGGAGTTGGGCATGATGGAGAACATAGATGGGAAGGGAGAGCAGCTTACAGACTTCATCTCCACGAGCAAAATCTTCTCAATACAGATTGACAACCCGGTGCCCGAAGACAATGCTGGATTCACAGATAAGGTTGAAAATTCCAAGAAGATGACGAATAGTGATACAGGCGACTTTGATTGCTCAAGAAAAATAGCTTTAAACATGAACCCAACCTTCTAGGCTTGGGATTCCATTTTTCTTAAGGTAGATTGTTGTTTTAAATAACCAAATTTCCCCGATGTTCATATTGAGGCTTATTTAAGTCTGGGGCCATTACTTTTTATGAGTGCAAGTCCTCATAGGTAATTACTCCCCCCACTTCTTGGGAGAGCACTCTCGATTGAAGATAACTCACTTTAGCATAACTTTGAAATTTTAATTTTAATAATCTTTCTTTTTTTTTTTTTTTGAGGGGAATAAAGATAGACCCGATTGAAATCTCATAGTTCCATCATCCTGAAAATATCATAGATCTCAATCTATCAATACCGATGAACCATTGTTGTAGCACCAAGGGAATCTGATTAGCAGTCATGGTTTGCCTCCTTCTAGGGATCCCGAGTAGAATAAGGTATTTTATTGTTGATTTTGGTATTGTGGAATTTGAGTTTGGGGCTTACGGCTCCTCCTTTTAGGAGTGGCCCGGTTTTTTGGTTTGTTTAGTTTGGGGGTTAAGGCCCATTTTAGGAGTGGCTTGATGTTTTGGTTTGTTTAGTTTAGGTCATATTGCTTCAATTAGAAGTTGCCTAATGATGTAATATAGGACTTACTGTTTCGATTAGAAGTTACCTAATAACGTGATTTAAGGCTTACTATTTCAATTAGAAGTTGTATGATAACTGATTTAGGGCTTACTGCTTCAATTCGAAGTTGATTAATTATTTTTATTTTATTCAAACTTAGGAAAAGTAATGTGGTTTTTATTTTTTAAAATTAAATTTAAAACATATTTTTTTATAGTTTCTTCTTTTTTTCTTTTCTTTTTTAAAATTTGGTAACTTTCCGGCGTCCCCTCCCCGCATAGGGAGATGTCGGTACGACACTTGTTGTTCGTCCCGGTTAGATCAAAGATACTACAATGCAGGTCTTCAAATTTATATGCAAACATTCTAATTTTGTTTAGAAATATCATTTTGTTTGTCAAACTTGTATAAGACTGCTCGACATCTAACTCAAAGTAAGTTTGAAGTTTGTGCATGTTCCGGACATAATAGGAATATACGTTAGGAAGGAGCATAGTAGGGTGTTTGAACAGTGAGAGACGAAGCACGGGCACAGGAGGACAGGGGACTTGGTCGTGGAAGTGTCACTAACGAAGGGGCGGGTCGTGTGCGTAGGCATGCATGCTGGAGGCGGGCTGGATCTTGCGAGCGAACGACAAGCTAGAGTGGACACACTGCTTTGCATGGAACCCAACAAGTCTGATGCAATCAAGGATTATAATTTTATATTTTGTATTTTATTTTCTTATATTTTGGATGTTATGTAATTTTAAACTTTTTTTTTATGTGCCCTATGATGGAAGTCAACCCATGATCATGTTAGGGTTTGATGCTCTTAGTTAATTTCTCTCAATTTACTTTTCACTTATGTCGAATTAGTTTCCTTGCTCCTTGGTTGTTGGTTCCCCATGCTAAATTTGAATTCCCATGATTGGTTGGTTGTTGGTTTTACAAGCAGGCTTTGGTTTCACTGCTGCTAGCCGTTCATTTCCCTCCTTGATGATTCCTAGAATAGTGTTTTATCTTCTCAAAAAGTGGTTGTATTGATTGGCTTCTATTGGCTAGTTGGGAGGCACATTTATGTGGGCTATTGAACCTTCTTCTCTTATAAAATATGGTTGATTTGCTAGTGGAAGAGGGTTGTTGTTGGTTCAAACAAATCCAATCCCGAGGGTTATCTTCCTAGCTTGAGAGCTATCTTCTTCCTACACCTATTTTTTCTTCTCAAACTTCTATCTATTTTTTCCTCTCCATGGTTTCCCTTCCACTTGAATCTTTCTTCTCCAAATATTGTGAGTTTAAGGCCCTAGTGTGCCACGCTTGTTGGTATTTGCCAGAGGAGCCCCGACTTGAACTGGATCATAAGTTATGTGGCAAATCACTGGTTTGATTTTTCCTTTGAGAACCATTCTTTCTTTTCGTAATTTGCATGTGAGGTGACCTTTCTAGGTTGGTCTGAGGGTAGTTAATTTTAAGTTTTAGTTTGTTTCTTTGAAAATTTTCCTAATCATTTACTTATATATGTTTACTATTAAATTTCATTATGTTGGTGTTGGTTTATGTTTATTGAAAGGTAGTATCTTGTTGTCTTCCTAGTATTCTCCTACTTGGCTATAGAGCCGGTGTTGAGCCAAAGATCAGGGCGCTAGGTTGCGGGAGTCGGGACAAGAGCACACATGCATGAGAGTGGAGAGAAATTGCATGAGTTCTTTTTTCTTCTTCATTCGGATTTTTTTTTTTTTTTTTTTTGGTTTTTTTTTTTTTTTTTTTTTGGTAGAATCGAAGTCACCTTGCTTCGTGAAAGGAGGCATCTTTTTTTTGTATATGTATATTTTTTAATTTATTAATTCAACATACTTGACGCCAAAGCCTATGATGGTTGACAACATCACCGATGTTCTGGATGGTAACATCCCCATTTAGGATCATCTTAAAGGTGATTTTACCAATAAGACCAATTACAACGAGCATAATTTGTCTTTTTTTATTTTTTTAAATAATGAATATAATAAAATATCAAATATATCTTTTTCATGTTAGAATATAAAATAAAATAAAATAAAAATATGCGTGATCCCAAATGCCCAAAAAAAAAAAAAACTGGACATTTCCATCACATTATTATGCTTAAATGATGCCCTTTAGAATGAGCTTCTCTTGAAAGATGACCCATTGCATGAGGGGTTCCTCACAAACCAAACAACTCTAAGTTGCCCTGTTGGATAAAAAGGAAGGTTTAAAAGTTCTATAAAGCAAGCAAAAATGATTTACCAATAAACTCGCATAAAAAAGGTTATCGTTAACAGAGTTGGAATAAACAAGAATATTGTCATCTAGTTATGAATATTAGCATCAAATTGTCCGTAAAATGCTCTTCTAAAGACATATCAGCACCATCAACTCGGAGACATCAACTTCACAGGTGAGAATGAAGTTCTGGAAGAAGATAGGGGTTGTGATCAGATAGTGTGATGCTAGAGCTGGGATCGCATGGGCATTTGATGTTGGGCATGGTATCCTCCTTATAATCCTCAAAAAAAAATTCTAGGATGGGAAAGCCTATAAAATACTGCAGGCCTTGCAAGAGGAAACAACACTGAATCATGAGGATAACAATAAGGCATCAAGAGATATGATAGAAGAAAAACTTCGTCACTCTCAAGCCCAAATGAGAAAGAATGATGGCCGAAATTAAAATTAACAAATGATAAAAACACTTATGCCAAAATTCATGGAATTCAAATTTAAAATTTTCAAGGACTATAGTGTTCCACAAAATTGATGCAATACGTCCTAACCCGATTATAGTGGGAGGCAGAATGGATTATGATAGGAAATACTTGATTTCAAGTATTTCCAAATCACTTCTACAGCAAATCTCGATGCAAACTGCTGTTCACAGCAGGAAAAACAGCAAAACAGTGGGAAAAACAGGGAAAAGCTGAGAGAAAATTGGAAGAACAGCTTGTATTTTACTAGTAGAAGAATAAAATAGCAAGATACAATTGATCCTCAATTCGAGAGGAGGATCGATCTCTCCCAAATCTCTAGACGCCGCTAGAGCCCAAAGAAAACCTAAATCTACGAGATCTCAAATTTCAGCCAAATTCAAGATCCCCTAACCCTAGGAAAAACATATATTTAATGCATACAAATCAAAAGGAATTCCCTAAACCGTCCCTACATTCAAATTTCTCTCTGAAACCCCCCAAAAATCCTTCCTAAAACGCTCTCTATGAGCGGTCGGTCGCTCGTTCTGGCGGAAACTCCGCCTGTTTTGCGACTTCGCCCCCGAACCGGTCCCGCCTGGACCGGCTGGACCGGTCCAGTGGACCGGTCTAACAGATTACTAGGACATCATCCATAAGTGATGCGCCATACTTAATCCAATTGTGATGAAAATTAGTTGAACGTTTGCTAAGACAAGAACGGCAAGTGGTGCATCATAATTTAGCCCAATCATGAAGAAAAATGAGTAAAGGTTAACTAGGTCTAAAGCTAAGAAAAGAACTTTGCTAAATTAAAGTTATGAACTTTGAAATAGAGAGTTGGTGACACAATGCTTAAAAGAAGAAAAAATATTGGTTGTTTAAAAGAAATCTAATGAAAAGAGGAAAAATTCATGACATAAGTGTCACAACTAGTGATCATAAGCAAAGACTTGCAACTATTTGTTGAACTGGTGTTGCCAAGCTAAACTCTCAAATTAATCAAGATTCTCTCAAGTTTGAACTTTCTATCTCTTGATCCTCAAGTCCACCACATTCAAATTAGATCTTTTTGGACAAATTCTTAATACCCAAGATGCAATAAATTTAAGCCCTCCATTAGTTGACCATGGATTTTATTCTGCTCACAATTCTAAAAACACTATAGCTCACTTACCAATAAGCTGGCTCAATAATAAAGATTCGCAAGACAATGCAAACTCATAAAATAAGCAGTTGCACATTTGTAAATATAGAAACCTATGAGAGGACAGACATACCTTTTCTTTAGCTCGTGGTGTGCCTGATTGGGACAATGCTACTAATGGTGGCACAGCACCTTCTTGGAGAACTAGGCTGCAAAATCTATTGCTATTTGTACAGAGCTGAAGCAAAGCTGCTGCTGCATTTTCCTTCCCTCTTGCTGATCCTAATTCAACAACTTCCACAAGCACAGGGATCCCACCTTCACGCCCAATTGCAGTTCTTCCTTCAGGTGTGGTAGCAAGGTTAGACAAAACAGCTACAGCCTTATCAACCATACCAGCAGCTGGATCCATCAACTCAACCAAATGCCTGACAGCACCAGCCTGAACAATTCTTGTTTTATTGTCATGAAATATTGATAGATTAAACAAAGCTGTAGCAGCATCTTTCTTTCCTCGAGGCGTCCCATTACCTAACAAATCAACCAATGGGTTGATAGCTCCAGAACGTCCAATCTTAACCTTATTTTCTTCAATGACAGAAAGGCTGAAGAGCGTCGCAGCTGAGTTCTCTTTTGCTTCAGGGCTTCCTGTTTCAAGAACATGAATGAGCGGATCAATTGCTTCTGCATTAGCAATGGCAGTCTTGTTGTTGTCATTGATTGATAAGTTTAAAAGTGCAGTTACAGCATCCTCTTGCACCTTTTGATCAATTGAATAAAGAAGGGCAACTAATAGGGGTATTGCCCCACAATTTGCGATCACTATCCTGTTCTCCATGTTATGTTTAGCAAGAAGGCGTAGCTCCTCAGTGGCAGCTCTCTGCAAATCCACAGAATCACTTCGTAGATCCTCAACCAATTTCCGCACTTGGGTCTCAACACCTGATAGATCTGGTCTTCTATCCAAGGAGGGTGAAGAAATGGTCTTTGGAGTAAACCTTTCCGATGGACGCCGCCAAATTGTTTGAGTTCTGGACCTAGCTTCTGCCAACTTTGATGAAAATTCAGGTTCTATCTGTGGGCCAGAGGAAGTTGGAGCCTCTTGCATAACTTCACCTGAAGTATCACTGCTATAATGAGTAAGGTCACTAGGAACGCGAGAGACAACACCCATATCTCCTAATCCTTCAGGATGATCATTAGTTGAAACAGCATGGCTATAATGAGTGGAAGTAGAAGTACCACGATCATCTTGCTCTGTATTGGATTCAGTTGAAGTTTGACCACTAGAGCTAACATATCTATGATCCGACCTGGATTCATTCTTGTCATCCAGACCTGATAACGACATCCTTGCAATATCTATATCAGAGCCATCTGTAACCTGAAAAGATGAACTCATCGAGCTTGAATTATGATGATGAGACGAAGATTTCTCATGCAGGTAAGTTTCTTGATGTATCCCATTGAAAGACGTTAGATCCTTGTGTACATTTATCGTCGATGTACTTTGTTCTGCTGATCTAGAATGTTTACTCCTAGTAGGGTGTTCACAAGAAGAAGGTTTACAGTCATTTTCGTTGGTATCCATAAGATTGCTGAAAGCCGAGAACAGGCTTTGATTCATGGATTTTAGCGGATCAGGTAACTTGATGTTGTTTGAGTCACACCAGCTTGCGATAAGCGCCTTAACAGTATAGTTGGGTATCAAATTGGAGTGCCCAAGTGTTTGACGGGTCTTGGGGCAAACGTTAAACCCTTGATCAAGCCATTTTCTAATAAAAGCCCGCTCATAAGTTTGTCCAGATGCCACAATCACAGGGTCAGACATCAATTCAAGGGAGAGTGGACAGCAAAAGTCAGGAGGAATTGGCACCCCATTGATGCTGTGCAGCTGTTTTATCTTAACAAGACAATCATGCATATAAGTGACAAGTGCAATTATATGATCAATGTACTCCATTTCTGCTTGATTATCACTACGGACAATTTTTGATTTAAGCTTATCCAAGGCAACGACCTCCATAAGCAATTCATAATTAGAAGACAAATTCAAGAAACTTGAAATTTTCTCCAGATGATCAGAACTAGGCAGCCTTTTGTCTATCTGATCCGTTACAACTTCTTTAATGTTATCCGAGATTTTTTCAAAATGCATTAGCTTAATCTTCTTCATAATATTCTGAAAATAATTGTAAGGAATCAGCAGGGATACTAAGTGGGAAATTCAATTACGAGTGTGTTGAAAAAGGAATATTCCTGAGCATACTTTCATTACCTCAATGTTTTCTGCAATAACATCAGCAGGGCGTAAAGAAATAAGTAGTTGACAAGTCACAGCTGCCGCTCTCTGTATTTTGGTTAGTACTGATTCATATTGCAACACCTGAACAAAACATCAGTTAGTGATAAAAGGCATGTGATTCCTCCTCCCAGTCCATCAGTATAAAAGAATAACAACTGGCTCAGGAAGGCAATCATTAAAGAAAAAAACAGATCATAAAGAAATTAAAAAGATATCTTCAGTGCAACATTTTTTTTTTCTTTCTCCTGAACATTTGGAGTTCAAAATCTTCAGTGGCAACATGTATCAATGGATAAAGCTAAAATAAAAAAAGCAGATTTCTATCAACATTAAGTGAAAAAATTATTTAAATGAGTTGACAAACATTGGAAATAGGTGAACGGCAGTGATCCATAACAGAGTAAGTGTGCTAAATTCCAGGATTTCTACAAATCATCATCATCCATAGCCTTGAAAAAACTAATTGGGGTCAGCTTTATAAATTCTCATTTCCATTAATTTGACACAAATTTTCTGATTGATTATACACCTAACATCAACCATGATGATAACAGAAAAACAAGCATGCAATTCGTACAAAAAGGGACTTCGATCATAGTAATATAGATAGATGAATAGTTGCAACCAAATTTCTCCTTCCATAACTTGGGGAAACATAACTTCAGAAAAAAGTAAACTGCTCACATTTGCCAATTATCCTCCATCCATATCCCTCCATTATCAAGCAATCCACCAGTATAGAGCCCACCAGACTCTAAAAAATACCAAGAATTTTAATAAGCTAAATCCTCTATGGCTTTTATAGCAAGAGGTTACTTATAAAGAATATTCAAAATGATAAGGCTTATGTAAGTTTTTTGCACACCATATAATTCTAATTGATGAGATATTCATTGAAATAATTAAAAAATTATAGTGGAGAAAAAGTCTAGAAGACAAATGTCTAAGAATTAGTAGAATAAAGACCAAATATATGCTAGATAATTTTAATGGGTATGATATTAACATTATCATTCAATATTCTTAGAAGATAACATGATACCTAGGTGTAGGGGACATAAATCAACCAAGTAGAGTCGAACACTATATTGTTCAAGGTCGTTCGATTATTTTCTTAACTACTTTGAATTGACCTTGAATATAATTGGAGTTTTAAATTCTTGTTCAAGCTTCTTTATTAATTTTCTTATTAAGTTCTCAAGCGATCAAACTTAACTAAGTATATGTTTAATGCTTATAATTAGATATATACATTAATTACTAGACATAATTGGATTTATAAATTTTAATAAAAATTAATATAATAAAATTGGTCAGTTAAATTCAAAGACTAAAAAAAATGTTCAAATCCACTCATGAATTATTTAATATTTTCATCATATATATCCATCTAATAATATACATAATTTCAAAATTGTATAAATTATAGAAAAATTAATACAATAATATAGAATAAAATATCAAATTAAAAAAAAAATAAAGCTATCATTAAATGAGTATTTTATCATGCTCTGAGCAAACTACTTATTAAACAACAAATAAGCATGTTCATGAACAGAAATGAACAAGCAAGTCAATGTTCAAAATTGTTCATTTATATAATGAACATGTAAAATTTATTATTGAATTACAACAATAACAACAACATCAAGCCTTTGTCCCACTATGTGAGGTCGGCTGCATGAATCCTTTTTCTTCTTTGTGTTCTGTTAAAAGTCAAATTCTTGTTTAAATCAAATAAAGAATGATCATTTCTAATATTTTCTAACCAAGTCTTTTTAGGTATACCTCTACCTTTCTTAACAAAAGTCAAATTTAATACCTCTACTTTCTTGATCGGGTCATCGGAAGGTCGCCGTTTTATAAAACCAAATCATCTAAGGCGACTCTCTCTAATCTTTTCTTCCACTAGAGCTACTTCAACCTTTTCACGTATATGCTCATTTCGTATCTTATCTCTAAGGGTAAAGCCACTCATCCACTTGAGCAACCTCATCTCTGCAACACTTAACTTAGTATTATGCTTCTCTTTTAATGACCAACATTCGGCACCATAAAGCATTGCAGGTCTCACCACCATCTTATAGAATTTTCTCTTAAGTTTGAGGGGACTTTTTTATCACACAACAAGATCGATGCCTTCCTCCACTTCAACCATCCAACTTGAATTTTGCTGATAATATCCCCATCTATTTCACCATCACTCTGAACAATAGATTCAAGATATCTAAAACGTGTACTCTTATTAATGACTTGATTGTCCAAAGTCGCAATCCCCTCACTAGGTCTATTACTACTAAAATTACACTCCATATATTCAATTTTAGATCTACTCAAGCAAAAACCTTAAGACTCTAAGGTAGACCTCCATAATTCAAGTTTACTTTCAACTCCCTCTCTAGTCTTAACAACAAGAGGAATATCACTGGCAAAAAGCATACACTAAGGTACATCCTCTTGCAAATGTCTAGTGAGAACATCTATGACTAAACCAAAAAGATATGGGCTTAAGGCTGATCCTTGATGTAATCCAATCGAAATAGGAAAATAGTTGGTCAAACCACCATGTGTTTGAACACAAGTAAAAAATAAAAAAATTATTATTCAATTATGTGAATAAAAAAATATAAACAAGCATTGTATAAATAAGTAACTAGTTATTTAGCAAGTACGCTAATTCACTTATAGCCCTAATAGGGGTGTGACAATTTCAACAAACTTGGATCTATTTTATAGAAGAATGAAGATACAAATAAGAATATAACTTCTAGAGTTGAAATTAGATGATTAAAATGGAGAAATGCCTTCAAAGTTTTATGCAATGCAAGGATATTATGAAGGCTTAAGCATAAATTTTACAAAAACAAAGTTATGTTCATGATATTATATAGATCCAAATGCTTAGTTGCAAGAAAAGTCATTGATATCTAAGTTGAGGGAAACAGTAAAGAGGATGATAAGATGGATGTGTGAAAAAACATTGGGTAAATTAATGAATAATTATATTATAAGACATATTGGAGTGGAATATATTGAGATAATGTGACAGAAAATAAACTTAAGTGGTTATGACATATACAATGATAGGTAGAACATATGCATTTTATATGAGTTGATAAAACTAGTTTTAGAGTATTAAAAAGAAAATTGTATAGACCTGCTCAGAATTATGTTCAAAGAATAGGTCTAACACTTTAGATAATATTAAACAAAAACAAATGAAAAATGAGAATTCACAATGCCGATTGCAAATAAATTAGTACAAGGCTAACCATCATGATACTTGGGGAGTTGGGGTTATAACAATATAAGGTAATCTTGGTTATTGCTTAAATTGAGAAAAAAGGGAACTATAACCCTATAAAAAAAGGAATACATCATCATCATCATCAAGCCTTTGTCCCATTATGCGGGGTCGGCTACATGAATCTTTTTTCCATTGTGTCATGTTAAAAGTCAAATTCTTGTTTAAATCTAATAAAGAACTGTTATAAAAAAAAGGAATGGGATTAAAAAAATGTCAGGACCAAAACTGGGTGTTACAAAATGGTTGGCATTTTTATTGGTTGAAAAACAATTCGAATGCTTGAGTTTTTTCGGTTGAGTTTTTTCGGGCCAATATAATATGCAAAACAGTCTAAGCGATTGATTCTTTAGAACTATTAACAACCCGAGGAGCCCATATAGTAAAATAGAATGGATACTTGATTTTGAAGACCTTTCCAAGGTACACAATTTCCATCACTAACTTTCATGACGAACTCTCACTAACTTGATAGCGTAATTTAAACTATACTTCATCCTTATTTGCAATTGAAGTGTGAAGCATCGAGTCTCAGCTCACTCACTTGATAGCATAGTTTAAACTATACTTTATCCTTATTTGCAATTGAAGTTTGAATAATCTAGTCTCAACTCACCCATGAAAGAATTAGAAAATCATTTCAATGATGAAGAACTGCTAATTGACAAATAACAGCAGAACGAAAAAGAAAAGGAGAGTGAATATAAAAAAGAAAATGATCTAACCAAAATCATAGAGCAAACTTTAATGGGTTATCAAGAATTTTATTTAATTATGGTCATTTATTCAATAACCAGCAAAGAAAATTATGCTAAAGAAAAAACATGGAAAGAAAAGACACATAGACTGCATGCATTTTTTTTCATGTCGAAATGCACTTCTATAAGAATGATTCATCTTTCTTATAGTAGGAAAATCAACCAATGATACCAATGATAAAACCTTGCTTGAGTTACTTATTTAATTCCTTTATAGTGTAAACCACATAAAAAGTAGCGCAATAAACAAATGAACAACATGCATATGAGAACCACATAGCATAATATTTTTCACTTAACAGCAACAAAAAATTTCAGTTTAAATAGAAACTGCTAAAAGATTTTCATTGTCCTGGCTGCAAATTGATTATCATCACAAAGGCATACAATCAAGACAAAAAAGTTGATACTTCACATACAAAATAAACTTTACTCATCGTTTGATGCCAGTTTCCAAGTAGTTCCTGCGCTTCATTAACCAAAGCATCAAGTTCTCCCAGCATTTTATTCAGCTTGTCATCTGAAGCTAAGACAGAGATAGAATCCTCTTCCAATGCAGCCTTCAACAACACCAAGATCTCACCAATTGCTCGGTAGCATCCGTGAAGCAACTCTGATTTTATGGTATTGCCCGTAGATAAGAGGCCAAACCCTGAGATGCTATTAAGAAGTGTCATCACTAAAGACATATCCAATGGACCTGTGAAAACATAAATAAATACCTTAGAATAGCTAAGTTATTCCAAGCCAACCAAATGTCAACAAAAGCACAACCATTTGTACTTCCAGAAATTCTGAGGTTGATTGCAAAATGAACATAAATAATAAGTGACCAAAGTTGAGAAACCAAACTTAGAAATATCACTTCCAGGATTAGTCACAAAAAAGAGGTAACGCTTGGCGCAGTGAATTAAGTTACCAGTAGTGTAATTTGAAGGCCCTAGACAATATCCCTGTAAATAACGGTAAGATTGTATATATCAACCCCTCATGCCGTGCAAGAATGGGAGCTTCATGCACTGGTTATAAACTTTTTTTTTAGTGGTCACAAAAATTAATTCAATCAAAATAAATAAATTGCATCATCGAGTGACAAAGGCGCTGAAGCAGTAGCAGATGACCCAAAAAAAGGCTAACCTCTATAACCTTAACTTGGTCACACTAAAAATTAAGGGTTGTTTGATAAAGCTTTTTACAAGCTTTGCAGCAGCAGAGAAGTCATTGCAAAGCAAGTGTACCAAGTCTAGGTAGGGAAAAAAAAAGTAAAATTTATAAAGTAGAAGCAACTTCTCAACCTCCTTTGACAAGGAAAAACCCCAACAAACCAACCTTTAGCCTATGCATTGAATGACTGAGAAACAAATTTGTTAAAAGACATTCCTACTAGGACACAATTTACTCCCTTACAATTTTAACAGATATGCCTAATCCCACAAAAGAGAAGTCCAATTTTCCATATTTCTTGTTAAATCATTTCAAGTTCAACAGAAAAAAAATTCAGTGACTGACGGAAATAAATCAAAGAAGCATCCAAGCAGATTTCAATACGTTCACTACATGGACAAGAGGAAGAATTGGGCAGTCCATACAAGGATGAAGAAATTTGTCAAAATAATCCTGGACTATCTTTGTGGGTCATTTTAATCCCAAACTATTTTAATCGTCCAATTTAATCTCTAGATCCCTCAACTATCCAAAATAGCCCCACAACTAGAATTGTTTTTAAATTTCATGAAAATTTTGCATAAAGTTTCCGAATGAGGATATCTCACACAATCAAGACAATTCTTAATTTTTTCAAAAATTCCCTCATTCCCCACCTCATTCATGAACCTTGCGTAAAATTTCCATCAAATTTAATAAGAATTCTAATTGAGGAATTATTATATATTATACATGAGAAGCAATAGGCTAAATTCGACATTTTAATAGTGAGATTAAAGTGGCTCCCCACAAATACTCCATTAACTATTTTGACTATCTCCTCTAAAAGGATTTGATTGCTCGTGCATTAAAGAGAGGAGACTTTTTTTTTTATCTAAGAGATATCACACAATTAGTATCTCTCGACAGCATTGGCATCTCCTCTCTCGATGACTGATAAACAAAACCAACGCCCGACTCTCGACATCTTAATATTAATCATTTTAAATATAAATTCTAGTTAAATGACTTATTATTTTCAAATTATTTTTAAAATTATACTTATTCAATTTTTATAAATTATTTTTAAAATATAAAAAATATAATACCATGTACAACCCGTGTCCGTGTCCTAAATTTTCAATAATTGGCATGTCCCGTGTCCGTGTCGCAGTGTTCGTGTCTGTGCATCATAGGTTTTTACCAATAGCCTACGTTTTACATCATTAGACACGATATATAATGTCATGTTATGTTCAAAGTTCAAACCTAACAAGATGCTCAACCGAATCAATCAATCTCTTATAGAGATCTAGCTAAGGGCTTTTGATTTTGGGTGTATTGGTTTGTCAAGAATTCATTGAATAAAGGATGAATAATGCATCGAACCATTAGCATTTGGTTCAACAATGTCAACGAGAGGTCGTTTGCCTCGTTCAAATGATCCTTCTACTCAAACATATGCCTTTCAAGCATAAATATTAAGAACCACAATGTGATTTTTTCCTATCGCATGGATGAATTAGTTGATTTGATTAAACAAAACAATGAATTGAGCATCACTATCTGCCTAAGTTGGTATAATATATGCCTCTCCATCATGGTAATCAGAATCATCATTATCATTCAAATATAAAGCAACAAGAAAAGTACCAATGTTGTTGTCATCGCCCATTGCATTTTTCTTTTGACTTCTAATGAGTTCACTAAAGACGGTGTCAAATGTGAATTAACGTCCTTTTTGCACATAAAAAAGAACAGGAGTTAGAATATATTCGGGAGTTTATTCAAGAGAAGAAAAATTGAGCTGATTTACTTCTTTGAATAAATGAGAAAAAATTAAATTTAAAAAATCATACAAAAAAGGGAATTTTAAGTAGTTCAATTATGCAGCTTATGGCCACTGTACAAGAGAGTTTAGAGTTCTCCTATTTATGTGTATGAGAAAATACAAAGAACATAAATAGTAGACAATAGCAAATGTGAAAGCATTTTCGAAAAATAGAACATCTTGTCTCTGCCACGATTCTATATTTGTCCTCAACAAAAAATGCTAAGGTGTTACACAAGAACAGGAGTTGAACCGCAGCAACCACTGTTGCACTGATGAATGAAAATTATGTTTGAAGAAGAGCTCTAATTGAAACAATTGAGTATTGAAATTGAATGGTGGCATTTTACTGAATTATAGTCAATTACATTCTATACAAATGAATTTGTACATAAAATTTGCTTATTATGATACTCTGATGCGATATCAAAATGAATTTGAATAACAAAACAAAACAAAAAATCACCTTGAATTTTACTTTGATGACAGAAGACCACGTGATTTTACTATAGCTTATGATTTTATAATTTCTAATGACTTATTTAATAAAAGATATGAGCATCTCATCACATATAAGAATAAATACAATAAAACTCAGATTGATTATTTTCTTATAAGAAAAATAAATTGTTTAGATTGTAAAGTTATTCCAAGTTAAAGTTTATGTACCCAATATTGCTTATTAATTTTAGACTTTAAGATGAAGGGTATAATATAAAAAATAAATTAAAAGATTGTTCTAAGATTAGATATGTGCATTTAAAGAACACTAATAAAAATATTTTTGAGAATAAGATTCTAGATTTTAAAATTTTGTTTGTGCATGAGAAAACTAATGTTATGAGAGAAAAAATAGCTAGTGATATTAAGAATGTTGCAAAGGATGTGCTAGGAGCATTAAAAAGAAAAGCTTCTAATAGTAAAAATAGTTTGTGGTGAAATCAAAATATGTAAATAAATAAATTGAAAATAAGAAGCTTCGTTATAAAAATTGATTTAGATGAAAAAATTTTGAAAATTGAAAAAGATATAAAGATGTCCGTAAAGAATTTAAAAAAGCAATATGCAATATAAAGATTTTAGCTTTTAATGATTTATATAATAGATTAAATACTGAGGAGGGCAAGGGCAAAAGAATATATATATATATAAGTTAGTCAAACAAAGAGATAAGAGTAGTAAGGATTTAGCTCAAGTGAAGCGCATAAAAAGAAGAAGATCAAAAAGTGTTTTTTATTAAAAGAGAATATTAAATAAAGGTGGATGAGATATTTAGCTGAGTTTTTCAATAAAGATTGTGAGAATATGATTGATTTTAGTTCTCTTAGCACACTAAATGAAAAAATGTATATTTTTTAATAGATGTATTAGTAAAATCGAAGATAAAGAGACTTTAAAGAAAATGAATTGTGAAAAAACTATTGAACCCGATGATACTCTAATAGAAGTGTAGAATTGTTTAGGAGATGAACAAATTTATGGGCTTACTAAACTTTTTAAGTTTTGAAGACTAAAAAGATACTACATGAGTGGAGAATGTGTGTGTTGATTCCTATTTTTAAGAATAAAGATGATGCGTAAGATTGTGCGAATTATAAGTGAATTAAGTTAATGTGTCATACTTTAAAACTATAGGAGAGAGTTATGGATCATAAATTACGACGTGATACTAATGTTTCTCAAAATCAATTTGGATTCATGTCAAGTAGCTCTACTATGAAAGATATACAATAAAAGATCAATAAAATATCAAAAATAAGAAATTTTTTTAATAACATCTGATTTAGATGTAAAAGCTTGAAAAACTGGAAAAGATACCGAAGGACTCGTATGGAGTCTAAGAAAGTAATATGCGATGCAAAGAATTTAATTTTTAATGATTTATATAATAAATTAAATTTTAAGGAGAGCGAGAGATGTATGTATAAGTTAACCAAGCTAAAAAATAGAAGAAGGATTAAGTTCAAGTGAAGTGCATTAAGTATGAAGATCAAAAAATATTTTTATTAGAAGAGGATATTCAACAAAAGTGAATAAGATATTTGATAAGCTTTTCGATAAAGATTGTGAAAATACGATTGACTTTAGTGACCTTAACATCTTAAATGAACATAGAGAGTTTTGTTTTTGTTGTGATATTAGTAAAACTAAAGTTAGAGAGACTTTAATGAAAATTAAGTGTGAAAAAGTTATTGGACATATAATAGAGGTGTGATTTGCTTAGGAGATAAGGAATTTCTTGCCTTGCAAAACTTTTTAATATTAATTTTAAGACTAAAAAGATGTTAGATGAGTTGAGAATGAGCGTGTTAATTCCGATTTTTTAAAATAAAGGTGATAGACAAGAGTGTACGAATTATAGAATAATTAAGTTAATGTGTAATGCATTCATATTATGGGAGAAAGTTATTGAGCATAGGTTACGATGTGATACAAATGTTTCTCAAAATCAATTTGGATTCATGCTGGATAGGTCTACTATACATTTATTGAGTGGTTTAATGGAGAAGTATAGAGAGAATATGGAGGATCTATATATGATATTTATTGATTTAGTTAAAGCATGTGATAAAATTCCAAGATAAGTGTTCTAAAGACTAAAGAGTCCTATAAAGGAAAGGAGTTAATAATGCTTATATTCAAGTCATTAAGGATGTGCATGCAGGAGCTGTTACTTGTGTTCAAACACAAGGCGGTTTGACCAAGTATTTTCCTATTTCAGTTGGATTACATCAAGGATAAGCTTTAAGCCTATATCTTTTTGCTTTAGTCATGGATGTTTTTACTAGACATTTGCAACAGGATGTACCCTACTATATGCTTTTTGCTAATGATATTCTTCTTATTGATAAGACTAGAGAGGGAGTTAAAGTAAAACTTGAATTATGGAGTTCAACCTTAAAGTTTAAAGGTTTTTTGTTTAAGTAAATCTAAAACCGAATACATTGAGTGTTATTTTAGTAATAGATCTAGTGGGGGATTGTGACTTTGAGTGATCAAGTCATTAAAAAAGAGTACACATTTTAGACATATTGAATATAGTCCACAATTATGGTGAAATGTGGGGATATTATCAGTAGAATTCAAGTTGGATGGTTAAAGTGGAGGAATGCATCAAGCCTGTTATGTGACAAAAAAGCCCCCCTCAGATTTATGAGAAAATTCTATAAGATGGCGGTATGACCTGCAATGCTTTAAGGCATTGAATGTTGGTCATTAAAAAAGGACTACCATATCAATTTTCCTTTCCCTCTTTGTGAGGCAAAATTAGCACGATAATGCACTGATTAGCTTGATAAGGAAATAATAGGTCATTTATGGTATTTAGATCAAAATGTTGACTAAAATGGCTCAATACAGGGTTTTAGCCCTTTTTTCGGTGGCATGGCATTGCATCCATTAGCTTAACGGGTCACCTCTAGAATTTAAACCAAATCATTGAACTAGCGACCCATTTTTAGCAAAACGTTTAAATTCATTTGTCAATTTTAATAAAATCAATGCATTCTCTTTACATAGTATGAGAAATTGTCTTTTCTTTCTTAGATTTAAATGAGAATTTAACTCTTAAAAGGACAAAATTGAGAAAAATAACCCCACATTGTGGGATAAAGGTTTGATGTTGTTGGTGCATTCTATTTACATACTAGTGGATTTAATATATTGTCCATACATTGAATTCATACTTCCCTAATGAACATAATTTGATATTGGCAGGCCAATGCTCCATGATGATAGTATCTATACTTACATATACAACTTTTTTTTTTTTTTGTGTATCAACAAGATTGAAACTTCATACATGTCTTTGCAAACATTTGCATGCCTCAGAAATATGGTTGTTGGCAAATCTTAGCTCGTGTTTTTCTTTTTTTTCTTTTTTTAATTTATCGCTTAGCTCCCATGCCTTTTCTTTTCCTATTATTCTTGTTTAACAACAATCTTGATGGTCTATCCACTTAAATCTACACTCATAATGTTTACTTTTATTCAATTGAGGTTAACCTCTGAGGAAGGGATTAAAAACGATGCTTTCAAGTAGTGTGGTTCGGAAGGACTCATGACTGCAGTGTTTCAGACCTGACTTTTCAAAAGATTAATGGTTGGGGCTATGTATCTATATATAGTCAATAAAAGATTGTACTCCAGAGGGAAAATAACAATGTTCATCTCATGATTAAAAAGGTATTGTGGTTAGTTGCACTAATTACATAAAATCTTGAAGATGATAAAGCGATATATCAATATAGATTCACACAGCTACATATGAACACATTAAAAAAATTGTACTTGTAACATATGAACTCAATGCCCTCAAATATAAGCATCAATTTTTTTTAACTGTAACAACACATGATTCCCCAACCTTTCAAATAAAAACATGAAGATTATAAGATATGCTCATCAAGTGGCAGGAAACTTAATCATAGAACTGCTTGAGATTCAAGGAGTTAGTTCAATTTTATTTTCCAGAAAACTTAATTTCAAAAAATCAACAAACCTACCTCTAAGTAATAGCAAATCGAAACCCCTAACAAAAGTTGTTCTTCTACGCAATTAACAGTCGCCGTTCGACTAAAAGCCAGTCATCGAGCAGATTATAACAAAAACAAAAACAACCATAAAGAATCTTTATCACTTACGCCTAGTCGGAACCCAAACCCTCAGGGGCTGTTTGGTTGCAAGAATATCCCGTATAACAGTTTTTTTGGGCAACTCTTATCACCCTAAATCCAATTTTTCTTCCCATTTTAGGCTAAATCCTGGATTTAGTCAACCCCGAGGGGAGTAGAATTTAAATTCTCCAAAAAAAAAAACTCCCGTGATCTCTCTTAAGAACTAAATCAGTGCCCCGAATACCGAAGCCGCCATCAAGAATCTATCAGCCTGACGGAAACAATCATGGTGCAAACACAGAAATAAACGAGAAAATATTCACAATCATAGAATCGGTGGCAACAGTAAACGCTCTCAGAAAATTCGAGCTGCCACATTAATTTGATTTCGCGATCCGAATTATGACAGGAACAAGGGATTCAATGGCCAAGTAAGTGAATTGCTTCAACGCGGAAAAAACGAATTTATACTTCACCTTCCCCCATACCCCCGTCCGTATTGCAGGCGACGGAGGACTCTCTCGAGCCGTCGCCGATTTCCCCAAACCCTAGATTTATCTCAGCCCTCATCGAGTGTATTCGTCGCTTTGGAGAACGAACGCGAAGACTCGGAGCCTCTCCACTGCAAATGTAAATGTTTTCTTTTGGTGTCGCCGCTTTCGGACAAGTGTTTTGACGTATTTTATATTATCATTATTTTAAAACACTCTTCATGGAAATAGTTTGGTAACGTTATCCTCAGCTAAATTTCATCGTGGTGCCATTAAATTTTCAACGTAATGCAAATTTTAATTAATAATAATTTATGTATTGCATGAGATGATAGGCGATGTCAAAATAGTTTGTTTTTCGACTTCAATTTTTTTTTATTCTTAAAAAAAAAAAGTACATAAAAAGGGTTTAAATGCATGGCTCAAGTTCAAAGTCAAAGTGTTCCCTTTCCCTCAACTCTCCTAGATGCAATTATGAAGTCCTAACTAACAATTTGATCTCCAACCAGAAAAATATAAAAATATTGGAGAAATAATAATACATATGTGTATTAGAGTTTGGTATTAATATTAGTTGATAGTAGTCTTGCAACAATAAATGTCAGTGCAAGTTTATAGAGGGTGATGTCAATCGAGTAATGATAGCACATCATAAATTCAGAGCAAACATCGGCACTCAAGTGATGATGGACATCAACGATCTTTGATGTTGGTCAACGAAAAGCTAGTGATGACAATTATGAACATGGACTAATGAAAGGCAATGATGATGTTGTTGTTGTAACTATTTCAATAAAAAATAAACACACACATATATATAATCATCCTCACCTCTCGATGTTTGTCTATAATAAAAAAAGATTTAATATACATATTTAAGTTAAAGTCATTAATGACTAATTTGATGATCCAAATTTGATTTCTCTTGAATCTTTTATATTTTATATCATCTCATCATCTTAATATCATCACAATTAAGTGAAATTGGACTAAGTCATATGTTTTGCATTAACATGAACAATTTAGCTATAAAAATTGATAAAAATGGAGTTCGGATAATCTTCGAATTGATTTTATAAATTTATAGTTTGAAAATCATAGTGCATTGAGATTTAGAAGCTAAGCCAAGTTTATGGTGATCAAATGATTTTTGTATGGATTGCCACTTACTCTTTTATTTTGAAATATAAAAAACTCATAGAACAAAAATATTTTGGATTGTTATAAATTTGAAGCATAAATTTATTGTTTTAAAACATTTATAAGCATAGACGCTCTCTAAATGTCAACATGAACCTCTTTTTGGGTAATAAACCAAATAATTCCCCATCAATTATAAATTTAGCCTTGACTGTGGCTCGTTACTCAAAGCAAAAAAAAATGTTGAAAGATTTTGATCAAAGTAATATAAAGTTGCTCACAATTATAGATAAAGGCTTTATTAGGCCCAAAAAAATATTAAAGCTAAGTTAAAAATAAAATTAAAAAAAATCCTAAAAGTTCCATATTCGAGAAGGCATATTTGCGATTAGAAATAGGCTTGGATGTGAGTACACAAGACTATTGGCTAGCCAACTGCCACCAACGCTATCACACAAGGTCATGCATGACTACAGTACGGCCTTTATTTTCATTTATTTTTAAACACATTCCATTAAATTTACTTCAAAAAATATAAATTCATGAATGGGTTGCTCAATTAATCTGAAAAATAAAAAATCATAATCCACATAATTCCCTCTCTTTTCTACCTCTTAACAAATACAATAAGCTTTTAGGTGTTCAGAAAAAATTATAATTTTGTCCACCATGCTCCGACTATTCTTTTAAAAGATGTCAAAATTTATCATACAAGATATAGCATTAAGTGGTAGTCGAGCGTAGGGGTGTCAATTTCGGGTCACGGGTCGGGTTCGGGTCGAACCCGGAACTGACCCGGGTTCAAACGGGTCAACCCTAACCCGACCCGGGTAGACAAACGGGTCGAAAAACCGAACCCGGACCCGACCCGTTTTGTCAAACGGGTCGGATCTGTGAACCCGAACCCGACCCGTTTTTCAAACGGGTCGGGTCATACCCGGATTTTTTCGGGTCGGGTCCGGATCGGATTTTCGTGTCGTGTCAAAAGTTGACACCCCTAGTCGAGCGTAAGCATTACTACTTCTAGGTGTTGATCTTCATCTACAAATATGTTGACTGCACTCGTTGCTCTATTGTAAACTAAGGCGGAAAGGTTTTTCAGCCTTTTAAGGCATCAATTTTTCGTTTAAAAGTTAGGCGTCAAGCACGAGAGAGATGGAGACTAATGCGGCAGTAAGTCATCAGACGGATGAGGGCAGGGTCCTAAAAAAAATATCGGTAATTCACGTGGTGTATCAATTTGGTTATCTAGCAAAATTTTGATGATTTTTATTTACTTTTTTTATTTTATTTTATTTTTATAACGGAGTATTCACCCGTTGTCACTCCCGAAAAGACGCTTGACGGCGCGACTAATCCTCAACTAACCTAGAAGAGGCACCAACCCCAGAAACCTCCTGGCCCGCACTTAATTGGGCCCCACTTGAGAGGCGATGCCGCTGAGGAGATTCAAACACGGGTTGGGAGATTTCCAACCGTACTCATCCACCAACCAAACTAAACAACCGTGAATAATTTTCTGCTTTATACTTGCCTCTTTTATCAATATTTGTACTCTTAGCTCCTCCATGATTATGAGCTTCTCTCAAATATATGTGGCATAGAACTCAGTGGTCCTAAATTTTGAAGGAGTTTTGATTTTTAAATTACTTGTGATGAGATTATGACTTTTAATCTCTTATTGATTCGAGAAAAATGTATGGTTAAGTTATATGTTTTTTTTTTATTATTATTTATATGTCAACCTAATAACAACTCATTGAGTTAAAAAATGAGTAGATTACAGCTCAGCACCTTGAATAGAAGCCTCATCCAAATGCATGGCCAGCTAGAGCTTTGGCCATAAACAGCTAGGAGGGGACCAACTCAATAGCAACCTAGTGAAGTGACTGCAATCTACTCTCAGTACAGATCACCTCAAACATGCTTATCAAGAAACAGTAAATACACAGCTCATCTTGGCTTGTTGGTTGATAGCTTATGCTTCCAACTAAGAGATCTTGGGTTCGAGTCTTTGCGTATGCGTTGTGTGTGTTTGCCTTAAATGGCCTAAATGTCCCAAAAAAAAAAAAGAAACAGTAAATTACTTTATAAAACAAAAAATGAATAATAAAATAACAAACTGAATTAAAATTAATATTAGGATTGTCAATCCAGTTGTCTTCGCATTCTTACTTGAGCATTACATCTATATGATTTATTACAAGGCCATGGACATAAATAAAAGAAAAAAAGGTAGAATTATTCTGGCTTACGACACGTAATTATTGTAAATTTAATGAGCCCCTTCTTATAGCCATTGCTCATTAGAGGCATCACAAGTGCTCCTTTTATAGTCTTCCATCCTGTCAAACCATAAATCACAAGAATATATAGCTCAATTAATTTACACCCAAACCTGCTTTTAAGAACAGTAAAGGAAGGAATTTTACCGCTTCGCAACAGAGAAGTAAGGCCATTCCAGGTTAATGCCGATTTAATAACAGCAGGCCAAAATGGTGCAACATTATCAGACCAATCAGCTCGCTTAATATCCTGCGACAGGAGTTCATTTCCAGTGCAATAAAATAAATCAGCAAGTTCACTTAACGTGTTTTTGGTAATTTTACCTGGAGCGGTAAGGACCCGGCTATATGAACATAATCAGCTGCAGAACACCACTTGGGCAGGTAATAAGCCTTGCATATCTTATTCAAGAGATTAATCTCATCAGGCTTTAGTTCTTCCTCTGAGGGCAAGAGATCTCTGTGGCACCATGTGACTATTATGATGATGCCACCTGGTGCTGCGACCCGCGCCAACTCTCTTACAAACTGACATCAGAAGAAGAACACGTTTGCTTAATCAGGTTCTTGACAAAGCAAATCAATCACAAACATGCATGGAAGTATTGTTATATGATTGTCACCTTTTCTTTGTCGGGCATATGTTCACCACTTTCCATGGACCAAACAAGATTAAACTGGCCATCTGGAAAGGGCTGATCCAAAGCATCAGCAACCTGGAATGATACCTGCTTTGAAAACAGAGACTCAGAAGCGAAGAAATTATTAAGGTTAAGGATTATACAAGCTACAAATTAGAAGGTTAGCTATGTTTCAACTTTTAATATTTGGAAAGACGTTCAATAAAAGGACCATTAGTAGGGTATGGAGAAGTTGACTAACCTTGTCGGCAAGCTCCGCAGCCATGGTCAGGTCCTGAGCACGCTTAGCTTGAACAGGGCTTAAGGTAATGCCTTGGACTTGGGCTCCATATTTCTTTGCCAGATACCTGGAACTGCCACCAATCCCACACCCAACATCAACTATTCTCATGGGCTTCTTCAACGGATCATCTGTGTGAGTACATATGTAGATAACATTTTAACCATTGCACAAATAAATCATTTGAACTGACATTATTAAACGAAAGGACCTAAATTTATATATATATAAATCATTGTGAAACTCAAAAGGCCTTCGATTTAAGAAACATCAATGATAATAGATTGCCCTCAACCAGACGTACAAATTCATAGAAAGCTTGCAAACAATCATCCTTATCTTCTAGCAGAGGTAAAATATGATCCAAACAGGTTTCAAGATTTGATGTGGAATTCCTTTGCCTATAGTATTCCGCATGGTCACTGCACCCTTGGTGATACTTTTTTCATTATTCAGCATAGCTTCCACTGCTTCTACAGCAAATTATAGTACTATAGTACATTTACCTTTTTCTGCTCTTGTTACACCTTTTTTAGAAACTGAAGTCTCTCTTATAGCGGGGGAGAGGATAGAGGAAGATAGTTTTATCCCTTTTGAATATTATCAGTAAAAGCTTTACTGTTATCTTTGTTCTGTTTGCATTGTCCCTGTTTTTCCCTGTTCTATTGCTTCCACAGCAAGATTTATTCTAGACAATTTGTTTGTTGAATTTTCGTTATATCAACTCTATTACACTTGTAACGTTGAGAGCTTTGAAGAGGCGCCCTTCGCTTGTCGATTAGAGACTTCACTATTGGCAGCCATCAATGAACTGCTGTAGTCGGATGTTCATAAGTTACTTTTTGAAATGGTGGGTTGTAGAGGTTGGAGAGGGGCAAAGGCAGGTGCCTTTGAGGAAGCCTTCGAAGCCATTGGCGCGGAAGAGCTTAAGGACTTGCGAGAGCCAAAAGGGATATTTGTTGGAGGTCAGGGTGATGGATATGATGCTTTTGATGTTGCTCATGAGAAATTTGAGTTGAGGAGGGATGGGTGGGGAATCTGCAGAAGAGCTCGATCTATTATGAGCATCGGGTACTCCTGCCACCGATGCAGAAGAGGTGTCCATGGGGAAGAAATGATGCGACAAGTCAGGATCATAAAATCACTATGCTCTAATACCATGAAAAGCTATGTTTACAGTATAGTTAACAGTAAAAGTGATGCGGTGTAGTAACATGTCAAGGAGGGAGCAAGCTTATACTACCGCCACTTCTGCCCTTTGCTTTAGCCTCCACTAGTACCTTTTTTTAGCCATATGATGGCACCGTGCTTTTCTAATACTAGCAAACTATATCATCATAGTTCTATATATAGGAAAATGGAAGGAAGGGATATAGAAGAAATATTATACTCCAGTTCTCTGTGTTGTTCTTGTGTTTTTTTCTGATGACTTGTTTTCTGCATGTTCCTCTGATCAAGGCGTCGCACTAGTTTGGTATCAAAGCCAGCGGCTTGGGCAAGCACCGATGGCCGAAAGTAGCTGACGAGCAGCTTTAGACGATGATCGAAGCTTAGATGCCTTTTGGGCAGGCCAAAACAACGTATCCGAGCAGTTAATTGAACTCGCATCTGACTTCATCCGGTTCCAGGTAGACATAAAGAAAGACATCCAGGCCCTATTCCTCATCAGTGGACTAGGTCAGAACTTTAGGCGAGCTCCCCCGGCAACAACTACACGAAATAACAGGGCAGGGAGCAAACTTGAAGGAGGATTCCGTCCCCAATTGCATAAATCTCTGACTCGGAAGGTGAAGAAGAAGTAGTCCACCCCCATTCTGAATCGGAGGGTGAAGAGTATGAGCACCAGAAAGATGTTCGGGTTCGGAGAGGCAGGTACCAGAGACACCATAATGAACTCAGTGTTAAGTTAGATATTCCGGTTTTTGAAGGTCGGCTGCATGTTGAGGATTACTTAGATTGGGAAAGAGCCGTCGAAAAATTCTTCGAGTACATGGAGATACCACAAGAAAAACAGGTGAAATACGTGGCCTACAAGCTCAAGGGAGGCGCGAGTGTGTGGTGGATGCAGCTCTCGTAGAATCGATGAAGAGAGGGTAAGAGGGATGTTATGAGCTGGCTCAGGATGAAGCAACTAACGAGGGGGCACTTCCTCCCCACCGATTATGAACAACTCCGGTACCTCAAGTATCAACACTGTGTGCAAGGTAACTGGAATGTTCGTGAATACAGTGAGGAGTTCTATCGACTAAGTGCCTGAAACAATCTCAATGAGTCTAACAACCAGTTGATAGCTCGTTATATATGGGGATTGAAGGATGTCATCCAAAATAAATTGGAGCTTAATTTGGTTTGGACTCTGTCGCAAGCTGTTAACTTCGCTTTCAAAGCCAGCTTTAGCTGGCTAGGCATTCTCGAAATCCTGTTCACAGACGGCCACCCAAGGAACACTATCAAGAAACCCGGCCTAGTGGAGTTACCCCTAGAGCGAATTTGACCTCGCAACCAGCTTCAAGCTAACCAGACCCAACCATGGAAGCAAAGTCTCCAACAAGGCCAAGAACCCAGGCTAAAGAAAATCCTTATTCAAAGCCTACAAACTTGAAGTGCTTTCGCTATTTTCAGCCCGGGCACAAATCAAATGAATGTCCTACCCGACCTCAAATCCAGATCATGGAGGGCGAATATGAAATTGTGACAGATGAAGCCGTAGAGGAAAATATCTGTTTAGCATCGTTTACACCAAAAGCCCAAATCATATCTTCGACATCTTCGCTCTCCCAAAATGTTCAAATAAAACGGTTGCCCAATTAATTGAACATTAATACCAAACCGTCTTGAATGAAGTATGAGACCAACTGATCACCTCAAATAGCACCTATAAAGAGGCTGCTGATTCACAACACCGCCAAAAGATATTCCAGACAGGGGAGGTCGTCATGATTCGCCTGGGAAAAGAGCGTCTTCCTGTCGGGACTTATTCGAAATTAGGCCCACGAAAATTCAGTCCAGTCACTATCCTCAAGCGCATAAATGATAATGCATACATCGTCGAGCTCCCAGATCACCCCCACACATCTAACACCTTCAATGTCTGAGACATCTCTACCTATCATCCCCCAGATGATCTAACTGGCCCGAACATTCAAGAGGACCATGAAGTTTTTGCAGCCGGAGGGAGCTAATGCAGTGTAGTAACACGTTAAGAAGGGGACAGGCTTATACTACCGCCACTTCTGCATTTTGCTTTGGCCTCCACTAGTACCTTTTTCGTTTTTACCATTCTTAGTAGTTAGTTATAGCCATATGATGGCACCGTGCTTTTCTAATATTAGCAAACTATAGTAGTATAATTCTATATACCTGATAGGAAGATGGAAGGAAGGGATATATAAGAAATATTATACTCCAGTTCTTTGTGTTATTCGTGTGTTTTTTTTCGGTGACTTGTTTTTTGCAGGTTCCTCTGATCAAGGCGCCGCACTAAAAAGTAAGGGGCTGTTTGGTATTAAATTGAATTTAACTTTAGTGGGAATTAGTAAATCCTGTAAATTCTAATTTAATAAATCCTGAGTGTGTTAAATCATGTACATTGTTTGGGATGACAAATATTAAATCTTGATAAATTATAAGAAACTATTAGGCAACATAATTCAATATTTAAGATGGTTGGTTTATGTAGAAATTAAAGTTAATTTGTTTTGAATGTAATATGCATGACTGTAAATTCGAATTTATGCATAAATTAAAGTTAAACTCAGATTAAATCCGTAAATCCCGGATTTAGGCAAGCATCGGATTTACGCAACCTCAAAAAACCGTTTGGCTAGATTTATCTTAAATCATGCTTAAATCTTGAGGCAAATCTGATACCAAGCAGCCCCTAAAGATAATAAATAAAAATGAAGCAGCTGTCTTTTAAATTAACCATTGTGCCAAAAGGCATATATAAGAGAGTAGATTTCGGCATTTGAATGATTCAGATGATTTAGTAACTATAGATTACTGGATTCGTGGTGCCATTATACCTAAGAGTTGTTGTAAACAAATTGACAAACTTGCCTCTAGATTCTTATACTCTGGTGACATTTCTTCTAAGAAACTTTATCTCATATCATGGAAAAACAACTGCAAACCTAAAATGGATGGGGGATTAGGCCTACCCTCTATTAATGTTATACACTATGCACACTCTTGCTCCATTATTTCTAGGATGTACAACTCTCAATCCCCCCTTACCACATGGTTTTTTTCACATTTATTGCTCCCCTTGGAAACTGACTCTTGTTTTGGCATCCCCTATGTGAAAACTTATATGTTAAACTGCTCTTAAAGTAAAGAGGAGCTTTGTTTTTTAAGTAACTGCTAGCAAACCTATCTCTCTTATGTGGGATCACTGGTGCAATGGTGTCTGCTTATTCAATCTTCCTAATCATTATGAAATCCTGAACTTATTTTCTGTTGACTCAAAACTTTCGGTTATTATGGATTCGAATGAATAGCGTGCATCCCTTTGTCTATTAATGATTCTATACGTAGGTCCATTCTCTTTATTCCTATTCAAATTGATGATGCGGTTTTGTTTTGGAAAAGTGGGAAAAAAAGGTTTTTATGATGACTTCTTACTCGAATTTTATTCTAATGAAAGTGAAGTTGATTGGCACAATATGGTGTGGCATAAACATTCAGCCACAAGAAACTCGGTCTTTGGTTGGATGAGCTTGGTTGGCGGCCTTAAAACATCAGATGTTTTAATTAAAAGGAGTATTTTGGTTAGTCCTATTAGCTGTCTCTGTTATGCTAACACTAAAAGTGTATCTAACTTGTTTTTTGAGTGTGATTACACTTATTCCATCATCACAAAACTTATTCCAATTTTTACATCTTTTTTACTGCGCCCCAATCTTCTTCAAATTGCTAATTATCTTGGTGATGAGAACGTTAACCTATCGCGTAGGAAGTCTTTCTATCCTTTGTTGCTTTGGTCTGTCTATCACATTTGGAAGGAGAGGAAGGCTAGGAAGTATGGATATAAATTATGTAGTAATGCTACTATTCGTATCATGATCATCAAAGCTATTTCTCTTAAAATTCAAAGCTGGAAGAATGGGGATAAATTCAAGGATATTCTTAAGGCATCTTTTTAATGTGTTTGAATATTTTACGGCACCTTTTGCTGGCCTGTTGACTGGTTTGCTGATGTTGTATGACTGGAACACTTACTAGTTATACTGTTTTGCTGATGTTGTGCGACTGGAACACTTACTGGTTACGAAGGGTTGCAGTTTTGGTATTTCTGCTAATTTCTTACTAATACATATTTTCATAATTAATGAATGGTTCCAAAAAAAAAAACAGATTGGCAGCTTTTTCCTATTCCAACTGTACAGTTGCTGTTTAGGCCATGTAAGGTATGTTGGACCACCAGCAGCGTGTTAGGGTGCTATTATTCTGTGAGAACACCGGAGGTCCGGAGCGATAATTTTTGGGAACCGTCCGACTCCGCACAGAATAATAAATCGTTAATAAAGAAGAAGGGGAGTTGATGAGTAACGGGATTTAAGATTTTGTTGGATTTAAACTAGCCATTTTTGTAGCAGGCTTTAGGATCCTGCTAACAAACAGGCAAACAGCCCCTAAAAAGTATTATTAACAAGCACCCTTAATTTGTCCCAAAAAAAAAAAAATAGTATTAAACATGCAAATAGAATTCTGCCGTATGTATGTAAATCCCATAAAAAAACGGTGCTTTGACGACCACCGACCGCAACGACAGAGAGAGAGAGAGATAACCTGAAACTCCGGCGAAGTGAAGAGCCTCCTCGACCATCCGGACCTGGGCGTCACGGTGGCCGGCCAAAGTCGCGGACGAGTCCGCCTCGTAGAAACCATGGTGCATATGGTCCCCCCATATATTCTCCCAAATCCCTGACGACTCATCGTAGAACTCCGCTATACCTTTCTTTAGTCCATCTCCGGACGCCGGTTCTGCCGCCGCCATAGGCCGAAACGAAAGCCGGCTTTTTCCCTCCACTGATATCCGTCGGCGGAGAAAGGGGGCTGGTCGGAGCACCAGGGAAGCAACCTGGGATGTGAGGAACAGAGCGGACATTAAAAAAATGATGGCCGCACCTGCTTGCATCTAAAACTTTCACTCCATTGTCTTTTCACGATAATCCGCATGTTCTAGCGGCTGCTATCACCGCCATCTATCTTTTTTGAGATGGATGATTGGTAAAGATATTACATTGAGATTTACGAGACTATATAGATAATTTTTAATTTTTTTAAATAAAAAAATAAATATTAAAAAATTACTGCTTTATAGAAAATTTATGATGATGGCTAATATGTAACATATTAGCTTTTGATACAAATTTAATATACACAAAAATAAGTTATAGGAGATTATAATTTTTTTAGTTGACCAATTCAATAAGAAAATAAGTCATGGGGTCTTACAAGGTATAGGAATACATTAAAGTATTAGAGATATAATAATAGTCCGTTCTTTATAATTGTGGAATATGATAATAATTACATTACAATTATGATGGTGGCAGTAATTAAAACCCAATAATATTATTAAACATTAGAAGAACTTAAAGAAGTTTGTCGATGGTGTAAGTGATTATTTGTGATGGTCATCGACAATGATAGTCATAAAAATATAAGAGAATTCTTTAATTCTCTTTACTCTTGAACTTCTCTTTTGTATAGAGAATGTGATGTTATTTATAGGCTTTTCGATATGAGCGTTTTGATGAATTTGTACATAATTAAAAAAACTTCATCGTACGGTCTATATTGATCTTATTGATCATAGTTAATTTATCAAATATTTAAGTGTCGTGCAGATGTTGGAAATGAGCGATATTTAGCTCGTTAGATTCATCTCATCGATGTGCTCAATTTAACTATAAACAAGCTATAATTGGAGGTTGTTTGGTCAATTAATTCATATTCAGAAGTTTCAAAATATGATTTTAGTGATTAATTGAGCTCATTTGGAGTAAGATTGTATCATTCATAGTAGCGATAGATTTGTTCCATTGAGACATTCAATTCGAATATAAATTTGCTAAACTTGAATTTGGATGATTTAATTCTAAAAATGATCCTTTATTTAATTGTAAAAAATTTCCAATTTAAAAATTATCTTAAGATTCATAAGATCATATGAATTTTTAGTAGTTGTATCAAACATAATTTTTGTTCTTAAATTTTTTAAGTGCATTTATCTTATAATTTGAATCAATGTTACATTATGTTTAATTGTTGATGTTATTTTAGCTTCAAAATAGCTAGATGATACTATTAAAAATAATATTTTATATTATTCACTGCTATATCTAAAATAATCTGCAAGAGTTAGCACGAATCTTAGGGCAAATATTAAATTAGAAACTTATGAATTAAATTCAAAAATCATAGGAACTCCAATTTCAACAAATTCATAGTTGAATTGAACAACTCAATGAGATGAACCCAACGGTATCAAATATGGTCCAATCGAAGCCCAAATAAGTCAAATCAACACTTGAGATGTGATTGAAATCTCCAAATTAGACATGCTTATAATCAAATCGAGTGACTCGACGATACAAATCCAACGAGTCTAATGTCACTAGATTCTAACATCATTAGGACAGTTAGATGATGAATAAATGCTTCATGATCAAGGGAATCAACATGAACTGTAAGATGTATTGTTTTGAATTATGGTTCAAATATTCATAAATATATATCTATGATGTTGTTTTAAACTTATTTTATAGTTTTTAACATAAGGGTAAAAAGTACATATTAAAATAAATGAATATATCATGCATCTACTCTTAATGGGTAGAGAAAAACAACATATTCATAGGAGAATTTTAAAGCTAGCTTTAGTCCATTTTAATATGTATAAATGATCATGTCTTGTTTTATACCATTTCAGATCTCACTTATGCTTTCTTAATTCTATACTCTTATTTAACACCGTTTGCCATTCAACAACTATCATGGGCTAAAACTAATGATTGCCATTTAGTGGTGTATTTCCTCAAAGTCCAAACAACAAATAACATGAATCTAAATTTTATTTATATTTTCTTTAATCATAAGAACAAAATTTATTATTATTGTGGGTTAATATATTCGTGGTGGTGGAGAGAGTTTTTTTTTCCTAGTGATGCACAAATATCCATCACACAAATAGATAGTTGAGAGAGCAAGAAAACACCTAAACATGAAAAACCCAAAAAAGGGAGAAACCACAGGATCTTGCCCATGTGAAAATATTCCACTAAATTTAAGTAAGTTACAAAGGTCAACTCATCTCTTAATTTAGAAACGGCAAGATTACAATAATTTGGAGAATTAATTGAACTTTGTATGAGAATTTTATTTTAGAGACGCCAAGATTCATCTCGTCAAGCCACTCGATTCTATTATAAGCATGCTATATTTATGTATCATTTGGTGATCATATTAATATTAAAATACTTTCAAATATACTTTAAGTCATTGAGAGACCAATTTGGACTCTCAATTGATTGATCTTAGAGTCGTTGGACTAGTCTTATTGATGTTCAATTTGACTATAAATTTGATGAAATCTTAATTTCGATGGTCCAAAATTTAATTTTATAAATTTTTACTTCGAACTTTCATGCCGAAAAAAAAAAAATGAAGTATCAATTATAATCAATGATTTATATTAATCAAATTATTTTCAACTAGGTCATGCTTATCATGCATTTTCAGCCTATTGTTTATATATATTCGTATGCAAATCCTACATATTCTGTATGCGCATGTTCTATTATTATTATTATTTTTACAAATCCTCGTACGTTTTCTGTGCCGCCATCACACAGCCTTATTTATATCAATTAATTAATAATTCAATATCCATCTGGCCGGTAATTTTTTGCTTCCCATGTCAAACGTGGTCCTGTCGTTTCCCAAAAAAAAAAAAAACGTGGTCCTGTCTTCCCTTATTGGGCTATTATTATTATTATTATTATTCATCCATGCCCACGCTTGCATATTATATTACCACATGCATTATTGTCTTAATTAATGTCACATTCAACTTTATTTAATTCTCCAATCGCCATTTCATATATATATATATTGTTGCGGACTAGAATATACGCGGCGACAGAGTTAGAAAATTTATGCCTAAGCGTTGTACGGATATCTAGCACACAAACATGGAAGAAATAGAAACACCATGATTTTTACGTGGAAATCCTGAAAGGGAAAAAATCACGAGACCACGCCCAATTGAAAAAAGTTTCACTAGTATTTTGCTTGAGATACAAGAGGTTGACTCGTCCACAAAAGCTAGGACGATCAGATTACAATGAATCACATATGAATTGAAATTCAGTTACAATTTTAAGCAGAGTTCCGATGTCTCTTGGAAATCGGGCGGAATGTCGGTGTCCTTCGGAGGTCGGGCAGAATTTCGGCGTTGTTCGGCGTTGTTCCAAAGTAGAGCAGGATTCTGGCGTCGGGTAGAACTTTAGTGTTCCTTGAGTGTCAGACAGAGGCGTCGCTCGGAAGTGCGGCAGAATTCCGGCGTCCAGTAGAACTTCGGCGTAGTTCAAAAGTCTGGCGAAATTCCGACGTCGAGCAGAACTCTAGCGGTGGTCGAGGAGGAGTTTTTCCCTCCTATCCTTCTCTTTTTCTCCTCTTCTTCTTCTCTTCTTCTTGCTTGGTTCCCTCCCCATGAGAAATGAGGGGTCTATTTATAGAATTCTTGGAGTGGCATAGCTTGTTAATAGGTGTGAGATCGGGGGCAAATAGAGAGTGGTTGAATGGACGACTGATATTGAATCCCTTGATCGTGCATTGTTCATCAGACATTTGAAGGTCTTAATGATGTCAGAATTTGGCGATCTTGGGCTCGTTGGATTCGTCTCGTCGAGCCGCTCGATTCGACTATAAACTCGTCAAGTTTGGAGACAATTTGGTAACTTAAATTATGGTACGAATTTTCTAATAGCACTTCAGGTCCTTGATTTGGACTCATTTGGGCTTGAATTGAGTTGAATTTGGTGTCTTTGGGTTTGCATTTCCGAGACGCTCAGTTTGACTATAAGTTGCTGAAATCGGAGTTCAGATGCTCCTGTATTTAATTTTTGAAATTTTAGGTTCGATTTTGCCTCGAGATTCGTGCCCGATCAAGATAATTTTTTGAGAATATATCATATTTAATATAAAATTTTAAAAGGAGTAAATTCGTCAAATAAAATAACGCATTTAGGATATGCCAAAGGAAATTGGCTGAATACACTATTTGATTTGACGCATTCATCTCAAACAAAAAAGAGAAAATAGCTAGAGAGAGAAATGACAAAAATTAAAGAATTAGTCAAAAGTTTTGATGTATTCTCTTTTGGGTAAGAGAGAGGTAGGAGAGATAGATAAGGGGGCAGAGAGAGAGAGAGAGAGAGAGAGAGAGAGAGAGAGAGAGAGAGAGAGAGAGAGAGAGGCAGTAGGAGGAACTTTTATTCGGTCTGGTGAACGTACGTTCCTCTACGTTCGACCACCAATATTTTAGCGCCACGTAGCATGAAGAAAAGTCGCCGACCCAACCCGCTGATTTTTGGGTTCTCGCACGTGCGTTTTTTTAAATCCTTAACGAGCCGAACAAAATCCCATCACCTTTTGGATATATTTCAAATACCTAGCAATACCGAGCAAATACTGAGTTGTACCGAGTTTTTTCTAGCAATACCGAGCAAATACCTAGCAATACCGAGCAAATCCCTAGCAATACCGAGCAAATCCTGAGCAAATACTGAGTTGTACCGAGTTGTAAAAAACTCGGTATTTGCATGGTATTGGTCTTCACAGAGCGGTATTTCTCATTTTTGCAAAGCAATACCTAGCAAATACCGAGTAATACCGAGAAAATCACGAACATAGCATTCCTGGGTTCCGCTCCGGGTCAATTACAAGAATAATATTAAAATTTTTGGAAGAAAAACAGCATACAACAGATCGATTCGGATAATCCCATCACAGTTGAAACTAAAGCGTTCATCTTTCACTAATAAGCAAATTTCAAAAGCAGCAAAAATCATCGACCACAAAAATAAGCGCGCAAGACCATCCCAATTTTTGTGGAGTTTGAGAGAGAAATAAAGGTTTCTTGCCTGCCAAGGCTATGGAAAAATATGCTTACTTTGACTTAAATAATTAATTGATGTAGCGATCCATCAGCAGCTTTGGAGAAACAAATTCCAGGCTTCCTTCTCTTCTGGACATTAAAACTAAAAGTCATTTGTCGTTGAACAATTTAGCATTCGCTCGCTCGCACATCCGATCCACATTAATTCCTATAAATTCCGATTCCAACACAATCCCAACTTGAACATCTACGGCACAAATTAATAGCAGTCGGCAATGTCCGGAGACGAGATAGTCGTGGTTCCCTTCCCCCACCCCGGCCATCTTTTTCCTGCCATCGAGCTCTGCCTCCGACTCGCCGAACGAAATTGCAGAATCACACTCATTCAACCCACCTCCTCAGCATCCTCCGCCTCCTTTCTCCATCCTCTCATCAACACCGTTCATCTCCCCATCCCCGACTCCATCCGCATCGACCCTTCCTTCGTCGACACCACTTTCCCCAAATTCCTCACCGATTTCCTCGACGAACGCCGCCGAAGCTCTTCTCTCCCCATCTGCGCCATAATTGATGAGATGGTCGGATCGCTTATCACCCCCTTCGTCGATTTCGGCGTCCCTGCCGTCAGCTTCTTCACTTCCAGCGCCATCTCCTCCGCGCTAGAACACGCCCTGTCACAAATTGAGCCGCTCGACGTGGGATCCACCGCAGTCTTTGAAGTCCCCGGCTTGCCCAAAGAAGTGGCTATGTCCGCTTCCGACTTTGCGCACCACCAAAACGGCGGCCCGCCACCTTTGGGACCCCACCGGTCGCGAGATGGGCGTCCCCGAAGGCGGCGGGATGTAGCCTCCACGGACGGGGCGGTTGGGCTGATCATGAACACGTGCGTCGATCTGGAGAGTCCGTTTCTAAAATACGTGGCTCGTGTGGCTGCCAAGCCGGTTTGGGCCGTCGGCCCGTTGCTGCCCGACCTATTTTGGTCGGCGTTGAGCGGGCCGGCTCGTGACGCAGCTGGCGCTAGAAGAGGAGGAGAGTATGGTGTGAGTGAGGCTGCGGTGCTTGACTGGCTGGACTCCAAGCCACAAGGCTCTGTAATATACGTGTCGTTCGGAAGTCTTGTGGGTCCCAATGATGCAGAGCTGGAGGAACTTGCGGCTGGGTTGGAGGAATCGGGTCGGTCGTTTATTTGGGTCATCAAGCCCGGTGCCCGTCAGCATGAACCGGATGGCCGGCCCATTGTGACCAACGGGAGCGGGTATTCATCCGATGGGTTGGAGAAGAGGGTGCAGGGGAGGGGAATGGTAATTAGGGGATGGGCACCCCAGCTAGCTATACTAAGTCACTCGTCAACGGGCGGGTATGTGTGCCACTGCGGGTGGAATTCGACGTTGGAGGCGCTCGGCTGTGGGGTGCCTGTGCTGGCTTGGCCTATTAGAGGGGACCAAACTTACAATGCCAAGTTGCTCGTAAGCCAATTGCGAGTGGGAGTGTCGGTGAGGCCGGCGCCAGGGAAGGCGGTGACCAAGACTGAAGTTGTGCTGGGGATTGAGAAGCTGATGACTGATGAGGAGATGAGAAAGCGTGCAACCTCTATTCGCTCCATTTTCGCTCAAGAATTACCTCTCATCTCTTCTGCAGCTTTGAATGATTTCCTCGAATTCTTAAGTTCAGATAGCGAGAAGCAATATAAATCAATTTGATCCTATATGTGCCATGTATCATTTATGTATTGCCCGCATCGATCAAACCTCAGAGTTCAGTGGTGCAAGCAAGCATATTATATACTCTTTCCTATTGTATCGTAGCTCGTAAGCCTTGCTTTGATGAACAGTTCTCAAATCTTGATTAGATAGTCTCAATTGAATTAAATGTATTGGTTATCTACTTCAAATCAACAAGAGCAAATAAATTTAAAAAAATAAAACGTGCAAAAAAAGTACTAAGAACTATTATATTTCCACAATTGATGACTAAGTAATAATTCATACATATAATTGAAGATAACAACAGATTTTTATAAGAGATGATTTGCAGCCACACCTTCTCTCTGCATTTCTAATCTCTTTTATATAAAAACTTAGATATGAACTCCCCCTGACATATCGAAAAGCTAGGATTTAATAATATGTGTATTATCTCTATACGAGATGCTTCTTCATAAGAAATTAATTAGATTCCACAGCTAAATAATTTGCGGTATAGTTTATCAATGTTTTATGATCTCAATTTTCAACACAAAATTAGTGGCTTTTAAATTTAAAATAGTTATATGCCACAACTATAATTTTTTGACAATCATACTCCAAAATTCAATGCTCTAGTAATAGAAGCTAACAAGCTTGATTCGTGCACTTAAGTACCGAGTGATTATGGGCCTATTAGTTATTAAAGCTTTATATATAAATCAACACTAAATTGAACATTACCTATTAAAGTACATGATTGCATATGAGCATGTAACACATACATTTGATCAAAATTATCAATGTGCATAGGGTACAAGTGACCAATTTTATTTAGAGAATTAAGATTTCACGCATCAAGGTTAATTGACTCGTGATAAGCTATGGGTAAGTTGATTGATACAAATTTAAAGTAGGGATGTCAATTTTTGACACGACCCGAAACACGACCCGAACCCGACTCGAAAAAATCTGGGTTCGGGTCAACCCGAAACGGGTCGGGTTCGGGTTGACACAGCAACCCGAAATTGACCCGAAAGTGAAACGAAAACTCATATTTGACCCGAAAACCCGAGATTGACCCGTTTTTTACCCGAAAATCGAATATTGACCCGATTTTGACTCGAAAATTATCAATTTTAGGTCAACTTCGGGTCATTGGTGTCGGACCCGAATCAAGTCGGGTTCGGGTTGACCCGAACAGTGCCGGGTCAGTTCCGGGTTCGACCCGAATCCGACCCGCTGACCCGAATTGACACCCCTAATTTAAAGAGAAGACAAACTACATGTAAGTCAACTGACAAGCAACCTAAGAGAAAAGAGATTTACCATGATGAGTTGATCATAATCATGATCATGATGGGTGGTTAATAAGATTTTGCTAAGTAGTTGAGGCAAATTGGTGAGTGCCTAACAAATAGGGTGCTAATGGGCTAGTTGATGCTAGACAATATGATAAGTAGGCAAATATTTGGGCAAGCGAAGGTGGTTTGACTAGTTCTATTAATTGTCATATATTTTTTTGACTTTAAGAGTTGTATGACCAAGATTAATTATCAAAATGGGGCATAACAATAATATGCAAGATTGAGTGTGTGTTGGGAGGTGGGGGGGGTTGTCAAAATGGGGCATAACAAGGGGGAGTGCATAATACAAAGAATATGGTGTGGTAGTGTGATGGCAAGCCAACTACCAATGATAGAAATGTGCAAAGGGATAAGATTAGAATGGTTATGGTTTTACAATACTAATCATATGAATGTTGTTGCGTTCCAGAACATTCACAGTGATAGAGAGATATAGGGTTTAACATACTAACTTTGTACGAAGATATAGCGCATATATAGATAAAAAAGAGAGGTGCAAGAGTCATAAGAGGCACCAAAATTTTTTATGTGAAAAACCTTAAAAAGGGAAAAAAATAATGTGGTCTTGCCCAGTTAAAATGATTATACTAATATTTTTAGACGATTACAAATGATGCCCTTTCTCGGGAGAAGGTCTTGGCTCAATGCAAAAAGTATATATCATATATAGGATATTACATGGTGGGAGTTGAAAGGATCCAGTGTTATAAGAATTGTTTTCAAAAGAATGTTAACATATATGTTTGGTTGGTAGGACCTTAGTCGAGAGATGGAGGTCGGAGGGAATGTAGTCGGGTGATTGAGATAGAGGGGACCATTATGGGAAGATAAAAGTCGGAGGGAATATAATCGACGCGTGACTACGTTGGAAGCGATGAAGGTCGGAGGAATCATAGCTGGTGGGTGATGTAGGTCGTGGGACCGTAATAGGCAGAAGATGGTGTTCAGGAGGATCACAGTCGGCTGGCGACTGGGGTCGAATATAGGTCATGTTGTAATGGTCAGACAGAGCTCTAGCAATGACGACTTGGTAGCGAGGATTTATCAATGGTAGTCCATGGGTGGAGCTTCGGGATGCTTTAAGCCTCATAACACTTTTGAGTCTCTAGCCCATGGTCCAAAGCCTCTAAAAGTCCAAGTGTCCCCCTCATGTGGGAAGAGTTATAGATTTCAAGAGTGACATGCTTTATAAATATAGGTAAGGTCCAGGGCAAATTTGGAGTGCTCAATCGGATGACCCATATCAATTCCCTCGACCATGGAGCATTCATTCAACATTTAAATGCATCAATGATGTCATAATTAAGTGATCTTGGATTTGTTGGATTTGTATCGTATAGCAGCTTGATTTGACTATAAGCATGTCATATTTGAATATTATTTTATCATACAATTAATGTCTTGGAGCTTTAAAATATGTTTTAAGCCATTGATTTTAGCCCACTTGGGCTCATATGGGACAAATTTTAGTGTGGTTTGGATTCATCTCAAAGAGAAATTCAATTTGAGCATGTTTGCTAAAAATGGAGTTTGGATGGCCCTAATTTAATTGTGGAAGTTTCCAATTCAGACATGCCTCAAGAATCGTGTCTGTTCATGGAGATTTATGGTGATGTATCAAATGTAATGGTAAGGATCATTGGATGCAAGACAAGGGAATGATGAAGGATTTGTAGGGGCGAGGCTCAAGAGAAAGAAAAAAACATCTGTGATGTGTGGATGATAATCAAAACCTTTTATATCAAAATATGGTGTAAATAATAAGAAATAGAATCATCATAACATTTGTTGTAATGTAGGAAGAGGGAATAGATGAATGGAGGACATGAGAAGGAAGAAGAAGAAGAATTGTAATACGATAGAAAGAGATTCGAAAGCAATAAGAACATGAATAATTGATTACCAAATCTGCTAGAATTCAAATATGCCTTTGATGTACTATTCGAAGTCCTAGATCATGATCTTCTAGCTATATAAGAGCCATAACTTATTACAACTTTACAAGTTAGAAGTTGCAAATATAATGAAAAAATTGCCACACTATAAAAAATAAAATAAAATATGTTCTTCATGATCATTGTAATATTAAAATTATTATGTATCTCGTACTTAGGAAGTTTCATTTTGTAATAATAAAATGCTAAAAAAAGTTTGCATTAAATGATCATAGTATGATTTTAAATATTAGTGGTTAACATTTGATTTTTGATAAAGCCAATTCAAAGAACATTAATATTTTCCGTTCAAGTGAAAGTTTAAAAATTTGGGATAGAACTCCAAAGTTTTGCTACAAATTGATAAATTTTTAGCGGCCCAAATTGTACTAGATTTTATTTATTAAGTTTCTTCTATATTTCATTTATTACAACTAAAGCATCAATTAGATAATTCTTCCTTTTTGATATTTCAAATATAGTTTTAATGAGTTTTAAAGATAATTATGTAATCAAAATTACGACAAAAAAATTATTATAGAATCAAAATCAAAGATAAACCGCAATAAAATCTAATTTAAAATAATTTGTAATATTTGCTACACTTAAACATCATAATATAATAATGCATGAATATCATAATTATGAAAAAAATACCATTACTCGTCTAATTGATGTGGCCATCCTATCAAATGTGTTCCCGTGAAGCTGCGAACCGGCCCAGGCCCAGCTAATTGGGTTTCTGGCAAACTGTGGGCGTGATCTAGACCGTTCACGTTAGGGTTTTTAGTTATTTTTTGCCTCTTCTGCTGCTTTATATTACATCTGAGATTCGCTGCGGCATTTTTCGCAAACTGCCGGAAGACACGATTTAAGCGGCACCGGAACCTGGTATGCGCCCTTACTCGAATTTAAAAAAAATTAATTTATGTTTTTGAGATCTGGAAAGCAATTGCGTTGTTTGAGGTGTTGCAGATTTGTCGAACGGTTAAAATCTTTCGAAATTTCTTGCATTCAATGCTTTTTTTTTTTTTTTTCTGATTATGGTCTACTAGTTTTATTTTTGAAGTTTCAGGCTTCAAGTTTAACAAAAATTTCCGTTGTAGTACTGGCCAAAAGCTTACTTGTGTTAGCTGTGTTACTGTAGTTTAGGGTATAGGATCTTTGACAAAAAACGTAAATTTACTTCGAGAGACATGTCAACTTAATGCCCCTTTTTGTTTTCGGTCTGGAAATTGCTCATGCATCAGAGCGAAAGTATATATATTTTTTTTCGTCATCTTTGCAATTATTAATAATAAGTTTCCATGCATCATATTTATTGAAAAACAAATATTATTTATATAGGAGGTGCTTGATAATTGTATTTCAAATATCCACCTCATTAGAATTCAAATGCTCAATGGTGTCTCTTATTGCCATTACTCAGCAAGTTAATTGACGATCAAGATCGACCGATTGAGTACATATGCAAGGATCGACTTATTCAGTACATATATACGACTTAAAGTTAATGACTCAGGTCCTACCAAGCACCTATAGCTCCAAGCTGATTTGTTCCTGGTCGTCTGACCAATTTCTATAGTTAGGCTTGGTCTTAATTTAACTACATGATGATATCTTGGCTGTTACAGTTATAGATTTTACATGGAATATTAAACTATCCTTATAATTGTTAATGAAATAATATGACTCCTTCGATCGTAAAGTCAATCAGTTAAAATAAGCGACACTTGATCATAATGAGGCAACTTCATTACCCTGTATATTTTCAAGTCTGTTGACTGTTCATCTGGCAAATCGTACGACTCTTTAAGTGTTATGTGGCTCACCCGGCATGCCCATATATATATCCTCTTGTTTGACTGAACGGAGCATTGGTTTTTTTTTGGATTTGAGTCACATTTGTAAATGGATAAAACCCTTATTTTTTTCAGTGAATGATTTGGATTAAAATAATCTTTTTTACATTTAATGCTATCACTAAGATAGACCGACCCCACATAGTGAGATAAGGCTTGATGTTATTGTTGTTGTTGTACTAAGTAGTGAAGATGAAAGCAAATTTCATCAGGAGGAAAATTTGCAACAAGAAAGGGATGATCTCACATAAATAGATGAAATCGCTTTGTTGTGTGTGACTGAATTCAATTAGGGCAACACCCAGAAAAGGCAAAGAGTTCCATTAACCTAGCAAAACTCATTGATGTGAACAGTGAATATCACTATCCTTTTATCTACGTTGAGCAATGCAATTGCAGCTACAATTTAAATTATTACAAATTTATTTTATAAAGGTGTTATCAACCCATGGTAGCATATCACTAAATATGAGGCAATCCCTCTCAACGTTTTAAAAGGCGAAATCGGGAATCGAGGCGTTTTGGCTAAGCGAGGCAGGCGTAAGCCACGAGGCGGATCGAGGCGTAAGCCTAAAAAATGATAAAAATAAAGTAATTAACAGTGCCGAGCATGTACCGCTCGGTACTGAGCGGTACTGGCTCGGAACCGAGCATGTACTGAGCAATATCGAGCATGTACCTAGTGGTACTCGCTTGGTACCGAGCGTGTACCTAGTGGTACCGAGCATGTACCGCTCAGTACCTCGCCCGGACGTTCGAGGCTTAGGCCTCAGTTCGTCCGACCTCCGCCTCGATTCGAGGCGCGCATCGAGGCGTCCGCCTCGAACACCTTTTTAATCAATGATCCCTCTTTACTCGAATGCATTCATACAAATATTCAAATCTTGTGGGTTGTTGCCATTTGTCCAAATTAGTGCCTAAACTTGATTCACCTATTCAATTTTTCTTGGGCTCAACCATCTCATTTCTTCTTTGTTGATCGGCTTGATTATTAAGTAAATCCGGCTATATTTGATCATTTGGGGCAAAAGGGCCTGCACTCATGCTTCCACATTTACACATTTATATTTGAATATGTATATACATGTATACAAGTATGCGTACATGTGTGTAGTGTGTACACATATGTCAAGTCATGTTATCATTCACTACTCATACCTCACTCTACAGTGGACCTATGGGTTTAAACGAGCCGAGCATGAGTGAGATAGCTATGGGTTTGTGTTCGACTGTTCAAATTTTTGTGTGTTTGTGTTTTATAATTATTCATGAACATTATATTTATGTTTGGCTGAGTTCAAACAATGAAAATAAATAAATAAATTATAGGTCGATCTTGATATAATTATACTACATATCTACAAACCAATTAATAAATTTGAGAAACATATAAAAATATATATTGCGTGAGCACTCTTTCTGCTTGAATCTGTATTAAATCCTCAAGGTAAGTACATTTCATTCATAAATTTTTTTTTTTTAAGGAGGGCTGATGCGAATTTGATTGCTTATATGACCTTTTACATTATTAAGTTTGTTTATCCGTTAATTTCCTTTTTATGTTCTTTATACTTTATAGTGGATAAACATGAGCTATTACTAATTTGATTTCTTTTTGATAGTCCTACTTGGATCATAGAACTACCATTCTCTTCACTAAATTAATGGTAGGAATGTCGAACTTTTGTATACCTTGACCATCTACGTTGGGCATCTCAGCCATCATAACCATCTTGGTTATCTCAAGCACGTATTCAGTGGGAACTCTAAATGCTTTTCCTCTAATGGCATCACAACAGACTTGTTTTTCTCGATTCATATGTATAAAAGGGCTCTTAGCTAATTTTTGTGAACTTCTAAATCATCTCTTCTACAACATACAACTCAATTTGGCAGTAGATCCAAATGCTTATACTTATAGCTACTTGTCACCCATGCTTATTTTTAAATTTTGCAAGCAAGACAAGTATTCATCCTTCTTGGATATCAAGACACATACCAGATTTTGGTATTAATATAACAAAATAAATGGCTATAGATCATAAAGATATCAAAATTAAATTAAATCAATATGAATTATCTCTAATTTGATCCTCTCATGTTGAGAACATTTGTTTGTCCTCTTGAAAGGTATGTAAGCAATAATTGTGATGTATTTATGCTGTAAACTCGAAGGTCTTTCCAAAGATCACTACTCTACTTAACCTTGCAACTATAATATAGTTAACTACGCCATAGATCTTTTAATTATTAATATCCTATAGATTTATTTTTCTTCAAATGCTCTTGAGTGGATCATACTCTAACGGTCTTTTCTAAGTGATGCAAGGGGAGACTTTTTTTGTTGTTCACAATCGGTTTCAGTAGCTATTGTGGGCAGTGTTTCTTACTATTTTTTTAAGAGCAAATTTGTGTTTTTTTTTCAAGTTCCTACTTTAAATTTAAATAACCTCATCAATTTTAAAAGCAGATTGCAATGAAATTTTCAAGTTTCTCATAGAAAAAGCATTCTAACTATTTTTTTGCTTGATGCTAGGTTAAGAAAAAGTTACCATTTTTGTTATTTGGTTCAATAATGATAGTGCTAATCTCCATTTTAGACGACACAAAGTGAGTAAAGTTAATAGTGTTGACTTCTTTAGTGGTGAAGCCGCTAGGAAGTAAGAGTCTTGGAGAAGCAGGAAGGTTTTCAACTTTCAGGTGGAGAACAATGAAAAGGAATCCTCTTTCTAGGGGAAGAGCCGAAATGGTGTTATTATCATGCTCTCTTCAAAATCAAGAGGCGCTTTATTTTCTTCAAAACACTTAAATTTATTTTCTGATGTGTCCTGATTGAGGTCGGCACATGGAGTGCATTGACTTGGTCCTATTTAAATTTATGATTCAACTTATCAATTAATGAGCTATAAGATTGGCTTGACTTGCTATTCAAAATAAACTACCTGAAAAGCTAGAAAAGTTACAAATAATGATTCTATTGAAGATATTAGATATTATGCCATATCAAAGGATGAATGTTACTGTTAGACCGGTCCTCCCTGGACTGGTCCAGCCGGCCCAATCCAGTGGGCCGGTTCGTTTTTACCGAAGAAGGGGGCGGGCGGAACAGGAGGCGGAAGCCGCATGAAGGCTATAGGTGGGGTCCACTTGAAATTCAAGTTGTTTCTTGGAGCCAAAATGAGGGGAAATGAGGGCAATTAGGTCCTTTTGTATCTATTTTGAATTGTATGTATTAAGTAGGGAGTAAAGGGGAGGTTTAGGGTTATGAGATTTGGTTTTGAAGTTTCTCTGGTTCTTCTTGTTGATTTGGGCTCTAGATCGTATTCTAGAGATTGGGAGAGTGCGATCCTCCTCTCGAATAGAGGATCCTTGTATCTTTGTTATTTTCCTTGCATCTATTAGTAGAATACAAGTCTTTTATCCGTTTTTCCTGCAGTTTTTCTCTGTTTTCCCTCCGTTTTGGGCTGTTTTCCTGCTGTGGACAGCAGTTGTTCTTGAGATTTGTTGCCAAACTGATTAGGAAATACTTGAAATCAAGTATTTCCTATCAAATTGGTATCAGAGCAAGTCTTGGGACAAATCGTGGGCTGTTTTGATCAATTTCAGCGGCTGAAATTGTACCGGAAAGGGAGAAAATCGCTGAAATTTTTTCCAATTCTTGAGATCTTCTCCTAAATTGCAAGCCGTAGGAGATGGCGGCTAAGAAGGTGGATGCTTTGGAGGAGAGAATTGAAGGAGAAATAAATCAAATCAAGGAGACCGTGGAGGAACGAATGTCTTCCATGGAGGGGCAAGTGGCCGATCTACGGGATATGATGAAAAAGATGTTGGAGTTTCAAACCCAATCGGCGGC